TGTGTGTATGTCAGTATGTATGTGTCTATATCTGTGTGTCTGTATCTGTGTGTGTGTGTATGTCTGTGTCTGTGTGTGTCCGTCTTTTGTATATGTCTGTGTCTCTATGTCCCTATGTGTATCTGTGTGTACCTGTGTGTGTGTCTGTGTGTGTGTGTCTGTGTGTGTCTATATCTGTGTCTCTGTGTATGCTTGTATATATCTGAATCTGAGTGTGCTTGTGTCTGTGTGTATGTCTGTCTGTATCTGTGTGTGTCTGTGTGTATCTGTATGTCTTTGTGTGTCTGTGTGTGTGCTTGTATGTGCACATCTGTGTGACTATGTGCATCTGTGTGTCTGTGTGTCTTTGTGTATCTGTGTGTGTGTCTGTGTGTGTCTGTATGTGTCTGTGTGTGTATATCTGTGTGTGTATATGTCTGGGTGTGTTTGTGTATCTGTGAGTCTGTGTGTGTTTGTGTATGTCTGTATGTCTATGTGTGTCTATGTGTGTCTGTGTGTATCTGTGTGTGTGTGTGTCTTTGTATCTGTGGGTGTGTCTGTCTTTTGTATATGTCTGTGTCTCTGTGTCCCTATGTATATCTGTGTGCCTGTGTGTGTGTGTCTGTGTATATGCCTGTGTCTGTATCTGTCTGTGTCTCTGTGTATGCTTGTATATATCTGTGTATGCTTGTGTCTGTGTGTATGTCTGTGTCTGTGTGTCTTTGTGTATCTGTATGTCTTTGTGTATCTGTGTGTGTGTCTGTGTGCCTGTGCATATATCTGTGTGACTATGTGCATCTGTATGTCTGTGTGTATCTCTCTGTGTGTGTGTATCTGTGTGTATATATGTCTGGGTGTGTCTGTGTATCTGGTCTAAGTGTGTCTGTGTGTCTATGTGTATCTGTGTGTGTGTCTTTGTGTGTCTGTGTCTGTATCTGTTGTGTGCGTCTGTCTTTTGTATATGTCTGAATCTCTGTGTGTGTCTATGTATATCTGTGTGTGCCTGTGTGTGTGTGTGTATGTGTATGTCTGTGTCTGTATCTGTGTGTGTCTCTGTGTGTGCCTGTGTCTGTTTATCTGTGTGTGTGTCTGTATGTCTTTGTGTATCTGTGTGTCTGTATCTGTCTGTGTCTCTGTGTGTGTCTGTATATATCTGTATGTGCCTGTGTCTGTGTGTCTGTGTATGTCTCTTTCTGTGTCTGCGTCTGTGTCTGTATGTCTTTGTGTGTCTGTGTCTGTGTGTCTGTGTGTGCCTGTGTCTGTGTGTCTCTGGGTATCTGTGTGTTTGTATCTGTGTGTGTGTGTGTTTCTTTGTGTATCTGTGTGTATCTTTGTGTGTCTGTGTCTGTATATATCTGTGTGTGCCTGTATCTGTGTGTGTGTGTGTATCTGTGTTTCTGTGTGTCTCTATGTCTGTGTGAATGTATCTGTATGTCTGTGTGTGTCTTTGAGTGTCTGCGTCTATGTGTGTATGTCTGTGTGTCTTTGTGTCTGTATTTGTGTGTCTTTGTGTATCTGTGTGTATCTGTCTTTTGTATATGTCTGTGTCTCTGTGTGTGTCTCTGTATATCTGTGTGTGCCTGTGTGTTGTGTATCTGTGTGTTTGTATATGTGTGTGTCTGTGTTTCTGTGTGTCTCTATGTCTGTGTGTATGTATCTGTATGTCTGTGTGTGTCTTTGTGTGTCTGTGTCTATATATCTGTATGTGCCTATGTCTGTGTTTATATCTGTGTGTGTGTCTGCGTGTGTTTCTGTGTGTATCTGTGTGTCTCAATGTCTGTGTGTGTCTTTGCATGTCTGTGTCTTTGTGTGTATGTCTGTGTGCCTTTGTGTATCTGTGTGTGTGTGTCTGTGTGTGTCTGTCTTTTGTTTATGTTTGTGTCTCTGTGTCTCTGTATATCTGTGTGTGTCTGTGTGTATGTCTGTGTCTATATCTGTGTCTTTGTGTGTCTGCATGTATCTGTGTGTGCTTGTGTCTGTGTGTATGTCTGTGTGTGTTTCTGTGTGTGTCTGTATGTCTTTGTGTGTCTGTGTGTGTTCCTGTGTGTATCTGTGTGTCTCTGTATCTGTGTCTATGTGTGTTTGTCTGTGTCTGTAGTATCTGTGTGTCTTTGTATATCTGTGTGTGTGTCTGTGTGTGTCTGTCTTTTGTATATGTTTGTGTCTCTGTGTCTATGAATATCTGTGTGTGTCTGTGTGTATGTCTGTGTTTGTATCTGTGTGTGTTTTTGTGTGTATCTGTATATATGTGTGTGCTTGTGTCTGTGTGTATGTCTGTGTCTGTACCTGTTGTGTCTCTCTGTATGTCTTTGTGTGTCTGTGTGTACCTGTCTGTGTGTATCTGTGTGTGTCTGTATGTGTGTATCTGTGTATATGTGTGTATGTATCTGTGTGTGTGTCTCTGTATGTCTGTGTGTCTATCTATGTCTCTGTCTGTGAGTATCTGTGTGTGTCTGTATGTAACTGTGTGTCTCTGTGTCTGTGGGTGTATCTGTGTGTCTGTATGTCTGTGTCTTTGTATTTGTGTATATGTCTGTATATGTCTGTGTCTTTGTGAATCTGTGTGTATGTCTGTGTGTGTTTATCTGTGTGTGTCTGTATGTGTATCTGTGTGTGTCTGTGTGTCTTTTGTCTGGGTGTATCTGTGTGTGTGTTTCTGTGTGTCTGTGTGCATCTGTGTATGTCTGTATGTACGTGTGTGTGTCTGTGTGTGCCTGTCTATATGTGTCTAGGTGTATCTGTGTGTCTGTATGTCTATATGTGTGTACATGTATCTGTGTGTGTGTCTCTGTATGTCTATGTGTCTGTGTCTGCCTGTGTCTCTCTGTGTCTGTGTGTATCTGTGTCTGGGTGTCTGTGCATCTATGTGCATCTGTGTGTGTCTTTGTATATCTGTGTATGTCTGTATGTGTCAGTGTGTCTGTGTGCCTGTCTGTGTGTGTCTAGGTGTATCTGTGTGTGTCTGTATATCTGTGTATGAATGTGCATGTATCTGGATGTCTGTGTGTCTGTGTCTCCTCTGTGTCTGTGTGTGTCTGTATGTCCATGTGTAACTGTGTGTGTCTGTGTCTTTATGTATCTGTGTATCTGTATGTCTGTGTGTCTTTGTGTATCTGTGTGTCTGTGTTTGTCTATGTGTATGTGTCTATATGGGTATCTGTGTGTGTCTGTGTGTAACTGTGTGTCTGTGTCTTGTGTATCTGTGTGTCTGAATGTCTGTGTGTCTTTGTGTATCTGTGTATATGTCTGTGTGTGTGTGCCTCTGTTTGTAACTGTTTGTATGTCTAGGTGTGTCTGTATATTTGTGTGTTTCTGTGTGTCTGTGACTGTCTGTATGTCTCTATGTGTCTCTGTGCGTCTGTGTGTATGTCTGTATGTATGTATCTGTGTGTGTGTGTCTGGGTGATCTGTGTATTTCTGTGTGTCTGTGTGCATCTGTGAATGTCTGTGTATGTCTGTGTGTATGTCTGTCTGTGTGTGTCGATGTATGTCTGTGTGTCTGTATGTCTGGGTGTGTCTGTGTATCTGTGTGTATGCTTCTATGTGTCTGTGTATGTCTCTGTGTCTGTGTGTTTATCTGTGTGTGTGTATCTGTGTGTCTGTATGTCTGGGTGTGTCTGTGTATCTGTGTGTATGCTTCTGTGTGTCTGTGTATGTCTCTGTGTCTATGTATCTGTGTGTCTATGTGTATCTGTGTGTGTGCACGTGTGTATGTCTGTGTGTCTGTGTGTTTAGGTCTGTGTGTGTCTGTGTGTCTATGTGTATCTGTGTGTGTGTATGTGTGTGTGTGTCTGTACATCTGTGTATGTACATGCACACCATGCATGGCACACATGTGAAGGTAAGAAGACAGCCCCCCATGTCCTTCCATCCTGTGTTTGAGATAGGCTCTCTCACTGGCCTGGAACTTTGCTGTATAGACCAGACTCTCTGGCCTCTGAACTTCCAGGGACCCACCTGGTGCATGCCACCCTGCCAGACTTTTTACTTAGATTCCAGGGACCCAAACTCAAGCCTTCATACTTGCAAGGCAATCACTTTACTGACCAAGCCATCTCCCCAGACTTGTTTGTTGTTGTTTGACTTAAAGATCTCGAAAGCTAGCTGGGTGTGGTGATGCAAGCCTTTGAAACACAGCAGAGGGGAGGCAGAAGCAGATGTCTCTGTGAGTTCAAAGCCAGCCTGGTCTATATAGCAAGTTCCAAGACAGTCAGAGCTACAAAGAGAGACTCTGTGTCAATCAATAAATAAATAGGCTGGGGGGGGGGGAGAGGGAGGTGGCACACGCCATTAACCCTAGCTCTCAGCAGGCAGAGGCAAGAGGATCCCTGTGAGTTTGAGGCCAGCCTGGTCTACACAGCTAGTTCTAGGACAGCCAAGGCTACACAGAGAAACCCTGTCTCGATAATAAATAAATAAATAAGTCTCCAAAGCTAGATTATCAAAAGTCAAGTTCTGATCATTCCATACCAGAGTTCAAGGTGAAGCAAGATGAACATCACAGCTCATTAGCAAAGCATTGAAAGGGACAACACTGAGCGCAGTGAGCACGTGGGGGAATGTGAGTCTTATACTTGGCTATTCTTGAGTAGAGGCCATCAGCCTTCCAGTTAAGCCTGGACTGCTGCTATGAGGGACCCTCCATAAGTAAACATCAGGGTCTGGCAAGGGAAATGTATGAGTAGCGCATGCTTACGGCAGCATGGTTCGTGGGGATGTGCTACTGAAAGGTGATGAAGTGTCCAAATCAGGAAATGAAATGAATTATGGTATACTTGGGTGTGTTTTATTATAAAATAATAATAATAATAACAACAACAACAACACTGTGGTGCTATGGCAAGGCAGCACTGGGAAAGGAAAAGGCCGAGGCAGGAAAAACCAAAGATCCAAGAACCCTCTCTCAGGAAGCTACAGAAATCTCCAGAAGGTGGTGTGTAGCCTGCGCCCACCCACTGCCTGACTCTAGTCAGGACAGCATCCCAGGAAGAGCCGCTACGAGCTCTTTCCCCTCGCCTTACCTTAAAGGTTTTATCCATGGAAGTAGAGAGAAGCATGTGGCTCTTACAAAAGACCGGACACCACTGAATACTGTTGACAGGGCCCCTGTGGCCTCGCAGGTGGAAAAGCACTTTCTTGGGGACCTTGGTCTCTCTATACTGACTGTTCAAATACGGCTGGATGAACTCAGATGCTGTGGGGGCCACACACAGGGGTGCTGGGGCACACCCTGCAGGGGGGCCCGGAGGCTCTTGGTCTTTGCCTCCACTGTCTGGACTCGGTGCCTGCAGCTGCCTCAGTCTCTTGGGGGTGTAGGGAACCACACAGTCCTCAGCCCTTTTCCTCTGGGAAGAGCTGGCATTTCCAGCGGTGCTTTCAACTTCGCTCCGAGCAGGCGAAGAGGAACTGAGAGCACCCCAGGCAGGATTTGATGGCTTTAAGCAGGCAGCTGCCAGAGGCACGTGGCTGGTGGGAGCTCGGCTCAACCACGAAGGACGAGGAGGCTCTCTGACGGGGAAGGAGGTATCCGGGTCCTTTGAGGGCCACTGCAGCCTCTGGCTGGGACAAGATCCCGGGTGACTTCTCCAGATCCGAGCCAGTGGCAGACGCTGGTCCCCTGGGTCTTCACAAGGGTGGTCCCCTGTATGACGTGCCCCCTCTTTTGTCACAGCCACCGTACCAGATGCAAAACCCATGCCAGAAGGCCTGGTCATGGCAGAGGCATCGTCCACCTGACCTTCAGAGTTCACACTGCTGCCAGGCTCGGGCTCAGGCTCTGAGTCAGAATCATCATATGCCACCAGCGAGGCCATGAAGACACACAAAGGGCTTCCTACAACTAAACAAGGTCAAAAGTCAGCAACTGTGAACGGGAAAATTGTTCTGTACTTGAATTCTAACACTTCAAACCCCACTAACAAAACACATAAAGAATAAAGGCAGCATTTCCTTTTTTTTTCTTTAAGTAATTTCTATTTATTTTATTGGTGTTTTGCCTGTTTGTATGTCTGTTGAGAGGGTACTGGAACCTGGAGTTACAGACAGTTATGAGCTACAATGTGGGTGCTGGGAATTGAACCCAGGTCCTCTGGAAAAGCAGTCAGTGCTCTTAACTGTAAGCCATCTCTCCAGCCCCAAGGCTGCGTTTTCATTTCAACACAAAGAAATGATGTTTGTGGTGGCAGGGATGGTGCAGTGGTTAGCAGTGTGTACTACTCTTCCAGAGGATCCATAATCAGCCTCACTTTCTAAGGATCCAGCATCCTTCTCTGACCTCCAAGATTATCCACATTAACGTGTACACACCCAAACACCAACATATATGTACACAAACAAGTAAAAATAGAAAGCATACTTTTATAAAGGAAAAATTAAAAATAAATGATGTTTGGGCCAGCAAGATGACTCAAGTGGGTTAAAAATGCTTGCTGCCTAGCCTAAAGACCTGAGTTTGATCCCTGGAACCTAGATAATGGAAAGGGAAAAATCAACTCATGAAAGATGTCCTCTGACCTCAACATGTGCCCTGATGTGTATGCCATCACCCAATTACATAAACAAATAAATGTTAATTAACAAAGGAAGGGAGGAAAAGAGGGAGGGAGAAAGGATGTATGTATGTTAGGGAGATCGCATGGGGACATGGTGTGTTTACCCTAATTTAAACATTACAAATCTATAAAAACCTAAGTAATTTTTAAAAATAAATGGATTTCCTATTCGGTAGACACAGTTAGAACATACCATTTTTAACTTATGTGGGGCTGGGGATGAAACTCGCTGACAGGACAATTACTGAGACATTCAAAGTTCTGGGTTTGCCCCTCAGCACCACAAAGCAGAAGAGGAGGAGGAAAATGTGAAGAAGGAGAGGAGGAAGACAAAAAAAGATGAACCAGGTATGGTGGGAGCCACCTGTGAGCCCAGCACTCATGAAGCTGAGGCAGGAGGGTTATGATTTCGAGGCTACCCTGGGATACATAGCAAGAGCCTGTCTTTAAAAACAACCAAAGGAAAAAAGAGAGAAAGCAGGCTTCTGGAGATGCCGAGCAATAGCGGGACATCCACCTGGCACACAAAGTCCAGGGCTGGATCCTAAGGCACCAGTCTACCTACCCAAGTGTGCCAAGGGCAATTCTGATCATGGCATCCAAATGTGTGTCTCACCCCAAATGCACAGATTCACACGGTAATGGGTTTCCTTCTTTAAATTCTTCCTGAAATTCTGAGCCATCACAAACTGTTATCAGCTAGCTCTCACTAAGAGGAGTTTTGCTCTAGAATTCAGTGTTTTATGAAGAGAAGAAGAGCAAGTACAGGCAGGAGGAAAATAAGGGTGCTAAGCAAATCTCAGCCAGCAGAGGGCATGGTGGGACAGGGTGCAAGCTTGGGTCATGGACAGACTTCTCAAAGAAAACCCACCCAGTCTCACTTTTTCAGTTTTATTTTTATTCATGTATGTGTCTGTGCAAGTGTATGCACACCCATGGGAATGAGCAAACCTGTGCCGCTGCACACCAAGGACAGAACATGGCATGTTGTGCCCTCCACTATTGCCTTCCATCTATTCCTTTGAGGTATGGTCCCCTGTGTCTGACCTCTTAGCGGTTAGGTTACCAGCAAGTGTGTAATGCCGAGCATATTAACACGGGTTCTGGGATCCTAACTTTGGTCCTCATGATTTCAAAGGAAGTGGTCTTAACAGCTGAGCCTCTCTAGCCCCACACTCTTAGGACAAGATCTGACTATATAAGCCAGGCTGGTCTTAGTCTCACGATCCTCCTGCCTCTGCCTTCTGAGTGCTAGAATAACAGGCATTCATCACAATGAATGCCTGAGACTACGTTTCAACATCCCATCCAAACCCCTCCACACCTGTCCCTCTAATGGCACCGTTCATCTAAGAACCCCACTGCCAGACAAGTCTGTTCATCATTCAAGGCCTGTGGTTATTGTTCCCACCAGCAACTGAATCCAGGCAAGTACCAATGTCCACATTAAACTTGTCTTCTAAATAGGACTTCTAAAACCAGCCAGCCACTCTCCACCTGAACCAAGAGTGCAGTGGGGCCTAATTACACATAGATGGTACCATGCTCTTCAAATCATTTAATCTCTACACACTCAGCAGGGATCTGAGGCCCAGCTCCTGGCCCCTCCCTGTCAAATGGAACCCACCACCAGACCATACAGACCTCAGTCACAGGCCCGGATTTGGAACCACACAGTTACCTGCAGGGTTGACTCACAAGAGAGGCCTACCGCAGATCAGAGGACAGCATAGCCCATCAGTTACCGCAGATCAGAGGACAGCGTAGCCCATCAGTTCCGGGGCATGCAAAATGTCTGAGTGACTTCTTCCAGCAGGAGGTTGGACTCTGGATGCACTCCACCATGTGTAGATCGTATTCACTCATTCAACAGCTGCAACATAGACAAACCAGTTAAGGACCTTCACTCAGCACACTCACAAGCCATAGGGAGAGAGGCAAACACATCCCCCACTCCACAAGTGGGCCAGAGAACGTCATGGCATGTGAACACAAAAGGAGAAAAGGAAGAGCAGAGCAGAGCGGCGGGGCCCAGGGCTGCACGTTCTTATGGAGCTGAGGCAGGCCTCAGAGAGAGAGAGAGAGAGAGTACACCTGTGTGACAGTCTGGAGAGGCTGAGGGAGCCAAGGTGGCCACAGTGCTGACTCTGAACAGCGGAGCCAGTGACGATCTAGAGGAGTCAAGGGTGAGCGCTGATGTTTGCCGTGCTGTACCCAAGCCCAAAAGATGTCATGGGGAAAGGGGGTGTGGTGAGACCAAGAGGAAGAGGCTAAATGGAGGGGAAGGTAATGAGAAAGATTTAAAAACAAGAATGTAAACAGCTAAAGGGGGCACCGACATGTGGGCAGGGCCCCTGTGGGTTTTGCTCGCTGTCCAGGAACCCTCGATCTAGATGTATTTGTAGCCTAAAAGCTGGTGCGGCAGGGTGCTGAGGTAGTTAAGAGAGACAAGATTTTTTCCATTTAACAAATAGTTCCTTGTTACCTATTCTGTGTTTAGCTCTATGTTGGATCTGATGTGGGCGGAGGCCACAGATCCATGAAGGGAAACAAAAAGATAGCCCTAGTCACGGGTTTTGAAGGATGGGGAGAACTTATCCAAGCTGTCAACGACAATGGGTAGAGTTCAGAGCACTCGAGGAAGAAATGGGAAGGAAAGGAAGACGATCGGCGCTCTGAGCCTGGTGCTAAGAGGCTGGATGCACGCGGCCACCAGGTCCCGGCCCCATCCCGCCCGGGCCCGCCGCTCACCACGCACGGAAACGCTTGGTCCACCCCTACAGCGGTCCGGCCTGCATCCGGGCCGCCCAGTCGCGTTCCATCGCGACGCCGGGGACCTCAGCCAATCAGAAGCGGGATATGCCCCGCCCCTGGATGGACAGCCAATGGCGGCATGCCATGACAGGAAGTTGTTCCGGCCGGAGGGGTTTCCACGAACTCCCTGGAGGGACCGGTGACTGAACCAGCGGTACTGACTGGTGGGTCCGAACGGGGGCCGGTAAGTGAAAAGAGGGCGGCCGCCGCTCCGGGAGCAAGGGAGGGCGCCGAGGTAGTGCCGGAGCTACCGCCCGCGCCCCGAGCCCCGAGAGCCCAGCTCCGAACCCAGATCACTGTTCTCTGGGCACCGGCGCCGCGAGGGGCGGGGAAGCTGCGGAGGCGCCGCCCACCCACGCTGCCATGGTTTCCCACCGCCTGGGCATTTATCTGCCCTGTAGGGTCTCCAGCAGTGCCCCCGACCAAGTGTTAGAAAGGTTCCTGGTGCGTATTTCACCAACAAGGAACCCGAGGGAAAAGCAGAAAAGTAACGCCACTTGCCCGTGGTTTCAAAGCCAGCTTATGCTCAGCATCAGCATCTGTGACCTCTCCGAGTTTATCTTTCACTACAGTACACCACTTCAGAGCAGGACTGCCTTAGGGAATAGTTCAGGCTGACCTGCTCTTCCCACTTGTCTCTACACTACACACAAAAGCGGAGATGCTGTGGGCGTGGGGAGGGAGGGAGAGAGGTGGAAAGGTCACATGGCGGTCAACCTCAAGAAGGGGCAGCTGATGCAATGGTGTGTAGCTCAGAGCCCTTGAGGGTGATTGGTCTCAACCTCCTCCTCCCCCGGCCCAACCAGCCACTGGAGGGACTTGGTCATTAAGGAAGCTGGTCAAGTGGCTAAAATGTTCTGAGAACCAGAGTGATTTCTCAGAAACTCCTGAGGGAAACTGAAAGGAGGGGCAAGGCCGGAAAGAAAGACAATAGAATTTCTACAAACAGAAACTGAAAGAAAAGAGATTTAAAGACCTCCACCCTGCCTGGGCATTCCCATGTGCTCCACAGTCCGTTGTGACCAGGGGCCACGAACTCCACAGCCGCGGTATGTATTGGCATCTTGGCCAGGCTTGGAGCGTTAGTGGGGTTTGGTTTTGTTTGTTGTTGTTGTTGTTTGTTTTGTTTTGTTGTTTACCACCTGCCTTATATGAAAGTGCGAAGGACTTTTGAGAGGGACCCGTGTCAGGATTGGGATGGTGTGCGTTTATTTTCATCTAGTAGACCCAAGTTTAGGTGATGCCCTGTTTTTGAGGGGTACAGATGCAGTATGTACCCAGTGGCCTGTCTGCCTTCCAAGTTTGTCCTTCAGTAACTTCAAAGCTTTGTTTGGGCTGAACTCCTTATGTGTTTAGTGTCTGACTACATGGGCATTCTTACCATGACAACCAAGTCTCTAATGCCTGTCTCTGTAAATTAATGTCTTCCTCCTGTAAGGTAGTGTTCACAGGGCTGGGCGTGTAGTTCGGTTGTTAGGAGAGGCTTGCTTGGCATGTTCCCGGCCCTGGGTTCTATCCCCCAGTACCTTTGTATGGGAAAATATCATTTCATTAACTAGACTATCATCTATCCCCAAATCTAGGAGTGTAAAGAACTGCTTGCTGTAAAGAGGCTCTGTCTTCTGGGATCATGTCAATCTGAAGCTATCATTACCCACCCTTTGAGGCCACAGTCCCGAGGTATCCAGAAACTTTCCTCAGCTACTCCTTTTCCCAAGCTGCCCCTAGACTCTTGCTGCCCTCTTCCCTCGGGCTGCAGAGTTTGTGGATCCTCCAACCCATGAGTATTTTGTGATGGCCCAAGTTCTTCTCATTCCTTCTGCTCACACTGTGCTGTGCCTGCTTTGCTTAAGAACCCACAGTGTTCATCTAGAACAATGGCATTTTTCCAAACGAGCCATAGATTTGGTTCCTAAAAGGAAGAAGTAGGTTTTTTTTTTTTACCAAAGGCCTGCTGTGGTTGCTCTGGGCTGGGCAGTTTGACTTTTTACAATCCAGGTACTTTTGTTACAGGGGGTAATAGATTACTGCCTGGTTATAACCTTTCTTCCAAATGTATTAGTAAGGTAAAAGAGCATTTCCTTAACAAAGACACAGCTGCTCATCTGGAGTTGACACAGTAAGTCCTCCAGACAGTGACCCTTAGCCTTTTGGCATCTCTGGGCTCCTTAAAGACGCTGCACCTGGACACTGCTTAAACCTGCGTTCATCCAGAGACTGTGCACATTGTTGTACTTTAAGAGCTTCAAGAACTCCAGGCTAAAACGTTGAGCATAATTCTAAAAGTTAGCAAAGAAATGAAGGAGGAAGGGAGAGCGCTCCACAAGGTGCACAGGTAAGTGTGTAGCTGCAGGGTTAGGAAGAGGGAGCTGTCTTCCCTGTCTCGCCATTCCTGTGCCATTCACACGAGATTGCCTTGGCCTCCCTCCCTCTTCCCCTCGTGCACCACACACAGGGTTTGAGTAGTGACCACTGCATGAGCGAATGCCCTGTCATCTCACCCATCGTTCCCCCATCAGATTAGTTTCTGTGCCTCTTCCAAGTCAGAATTCTAATACTTAAAGAGATAGATACTGACCTACAACGTGGAGCCTGAACGCAGGCCCAGTTCCCCTAACTGGTTGCACCAGCTACCAGCCCTGCTGTAGTGGGAAGAGACTAGCTGTCCAGGCTCACTCACCCATTCTCCTTGTCACTTTTTCTAGGAGTTGAATCTAGTTGTGACCACGACTGACTGTAGCCTTTGCAGGACCCCGCATCTGGGAAGGAGACCCCAGGTGGTCTGCCAGGCTCTCCCAGAGCTCAGAGGACATGGCTCAGTGCCAGAGCGGTGTACTAGAGGTAGCATTAGGTCCCGAGTTTCTCAGCCATCAACGAGAACAAACACTGGTATTTTCTGTGTTTGCTGGCTTGGGAGGGGTTTTGTTGGGGGTGGGGTTGCAACCGGATCTTATATAGCCCAAGCTAGCCTAAAATTTACCTCAGTCAGAAGTGAGGTGTGCAGCACCATGCCTTAGATAGAGCCCACACTTAAAGACGATGTAAGAGAGAAGCCTAGAGGGAAAGGTTGAACTTAAGAGAAACCCATGGTCATAAAGCTGGTGCGCACCCTCGCTGTGGTCATAAAGCTGGTGTGCACCCTCGCTGTGGTCATAAAGCTGGTGCGCACCCTCGCTGTACTTACGATTCAGCTAACTCAACAGCAGAGATAGTACTATAACAAAGGTAGAAGGAGAATGTTCGTGGGTCACAGGGTGAGGATGGGGACTTGGAGGGGGATGGACACGGGACGGAACATCCTGCATAGGGGGAGCAGAAGGGACTCAGGGACTATGACTGGGATGGGCTCTGGCCAGAGCTTGACTTAGTGTCTGGACTTGAACCTCAGGCAGATTCCTGTGGCTTCCTTGAGTTAACAGGATGTGCAGTTACAGCTTGCTCTCCCGTATGAAGATGGTGGTGTTAAATTAGTAAGATAAATACAAACATCTCTACTGTACATCTGACTCTTGAGAGGCAGGTAGGTGGAAGATGGTGCCTGAGACCACCCTCCCTTGCCTCAGTCTCGGCTTCTGCAGCTATTTCCTCAATGAAGTCTTCCCTCCTGACGGAAGCTTGTGGTGGCACCGAATTTTGACAGGGAGATGAAATACCAGCGAGCTCTGAGAGGGTGGTAAAGACCCTGTCCTGCGGGAGGGAAACTCATTAAACCCAGAAAGTAAACAACGTCACAGTTTCGGGAAATCCCTGAAACCAACCAGATCCCCCTAGGTTCTTCCCCTCCCCCAGGCGTTCTCTTGAGCACTGCTGAGAGACTGAGGGGAGCTCTGCTTCCGAGAAGAGTCTCAGGGCACTTAGACTGCCTGCCAGCTATGCAGTGCCCTCCAGGTGACTAGTTTCCATGTGCTGCACTGTGTGGGCCTTGGTGATATGATTGAGTCGCCCACCCAGTAAAACTTGTTGGGTCAGGTTGGGGGGGGGGGGTAGACAACACTCACTGGTACACTTTGAACTTTGATGGTATCGAATGACTTGGTGCATAGAGAGACTTAGACCAAGACGCCAGGGCAGGCTGCGTGGAGTTACTTACTGGCCTGGCACGGCCTGTGGCTCCCCTCAGGTTAAGATAAGTCAGGTGAAGCTGAGTGTAGTGTATCTCCAGAGCCCTCACTCCCAAACCCAGGAGTAACAGGACTGGAGGTGCGGCTGTATCTTGCCTACAGTTTGCAGTGAGTTCCTGCAGTAGCTTTTTCCTTTGTAATTTCTAACAGCCCTTGAGGTAAGTTAAAAGTCCATAGAGTTACATTTTGTAGATAAGAAGGTGGCTGACCCAGCAGGGACTACAGGTGGCCCAGCTTCCACCCTTTCCAGTGTCAGTAAAAATAATGACTAATAGCAATATGCCACAGGCGTACTTTCCCGGCCTTAAGTAAAGGCAGCGTGCAGGATGGCTAGGCTCATGATCCTTACTGGTCTAGAACTCAGGGCAGAGAAGGCCTTGTCCTCCACCCAGACCTTGCTGTGAAATCAGAGCCTCAGATAAGCTGGAGGCCATTGTGGGGCAATACTATGTTCTTTATGTCTACAAAGGCCTGAGAGTTAGTTCTCAAGGCAGTAAAGGTAAAGAACAAACAATACTTTGCAAAGTATCTTTCTCTATGGTGAGAATAGCCTTCCTAAAGCCCGTTGGTATTTGGAGCGAACATGGGTTCCTCTCCTGAGCACTAGATGGGAACAAGCATCACTGGGTACCAACTTACTGTTTACCTAGGGGGCCTCCTTTGCTGGCCTCAAGTTGGTTCCTCCCAGTAATGCTCATCATTCTCATTGTCAGCGTTGATGCTTCTTCCCATGACCCCAAGTTCTCCTCGTCTCTTTCCATTAATGTTCTGTTACCCAGTTTCTGTTAGAGTTCCGCAGTTACCACACCTTTCTGGAAGAAAGGCTGAGTGCTGGGATGGAAACACAGCTGTAGTAATCTGCTCAAGGCTCCCCACCCTCAATCCATTTCATTTTTTCCTCTACAGAGTCTCGTCTCAACTGCCGAACACATCTGCTCACTAACCAGCTGCAGGCCTAGGTCCTAGAAGATGGCGGACATGCCCAGTGGCGAGTCCTGCGCCTCTCCACTGGAGCTGTTCAACAGCATAGCTGCTCAAGGGGAGCTCGTGAGGTCCCTCAAGGCTGGAAATGCACCAAAAGTAGGTGATTTGTTAGACCCCCTGGCACATGCGTCTGAGCCTCCACGCCTGCACCGTTGTCTGTATAGAGTCTGTCACATTGAGTGCCATCATCGTACCTGTGCTTTAAAACCCTTTGTATTGTAGGGAATTTGTCCCCAAATCCTGAAGCGTCATGATGCCCAAGTCCCTCACATACAGCAGCATAGGATTCCCATATAGTCTACCCTACACTTTAAGCCAGTTTAGCATTGTGTGGGCTCTGTGTGAGTAGTTGTGTTACTCTATGTATGTTTTCTTCCTTTTCTTTTGCTGTACTGTATCCTTTTGGTTTTTCAAGGCAGGGTTTCTCTGTGCTGCCCTGGCTGTCCTGTAACTCGCTCTGCAGACCAGGCTGGCCTCAAACTCACAAGATCTACCCGCCTCTGCCTCCTGAGTGCTGGGATTAACAGAGGCTTCTCCACTATGCCCAGCTGCTATACTGTATCTTTAGAGGATATGTTAGTTACTTTTTTGTCTCATGGGTTGAGGTTTTAGTCCATGGCGGCAGGGAAGTCCCAGAGGCAGTGGGACAGCAGGACACACTGGGGCGAGTCGGGAAACGGAAATGAATTTCTGTGCTCAGCTCTCCTTCCCCATGGAATGATGCCACCTGCATTTACGGTGTATTTACGGTGTATTCTCCCATCTTAATTAGCGCTATCTAGAAACATGCCCAGAGGTATATTTCTCAGCCTCTTCTAGATCCCGTCAAGTTGACAGTGAATAAAGTGACAAAATGAACATCTGTTCATACTCAGTACGGGTGAAGAATTTTGTGTGTGTGCTTAGTATTTTCTGTCCTGCGTTAGTTGAAGTCAAGGATTCAGAACCCACAGTTACGGAGATTCCCACCAGCCCCAGTACCTTCCATCCTGTTCCCCACAGTTCTGCTCATACACAGATGTTTGCAGGCCTTGTACAGGTTTGTACCTCTGCATGTCTAAGCTACATGTCTATTTCCTTCCTTTCTTCATTTCAAGTCTAGGTCTGTGGCTGTGGCCACAGGGACCCCTGCTTTCACACATACTTCCCACCCTCCATTCTCCCGGGATATATTGCAGACCTAGTTAGGTCATTATTACTACAGGACTATTACACTATGTAAACACATAGACAGCTGAACCGTCAAGTACAGCATGAGTACTGTTCCTTTTCCTTCCCACCATCTGTTTTCTCTGGAGTTAATGTTTGCCTTAATTCCTGTTTGCCTGGCCTTTTCTGTGCTATTCCTAGTGCAGTTGGGCCCCACATAACACCGCCCAGTCAAAGACCCAGGGCTGCAATAGGTGGTGAGCGCAGTCAGCATTCTGTTTGTGGTGAGGTTAATCTTGTACCGTTGTTGCTTTTGATAACTTGTTTGGGGCATTGTTTGTTACCTGGACAGTGGGATGTGGCACGTGCCAAGGTAGCATGCTACCACCGTTTTGGCTGCTTTTCTCATTACTGTAGCCAAATAGGTGACCCACAACATCAACTTCAAAAAGGAAGAGTCTACTTTATCTCACTGTCTGAGAGTCCAGCCCCTCCTGGGGAAGATGCTGCAGCAGATGCATGTGGCAGCTGGCCGTGTGATACTGCAGTCAGGGAGCAGAGAGAGATGGATGCTGGCTCTCTGCTTCCTTTATCCTTTTTCTCCTGACTGAGACTCCAGCCAGTGGGGTGATACTGCCCACACTCTAGGTAGGTCTTCTCTCATCCATTAGGCCACCGTGGAAACATCTTCACAAACACACCCAGAGGTGTGATCTGAGTGATTCCAAATCCAGTCAAGGTGATGATGGGGGTTAACCATCACAACTTCAAGGCCAGGCGTCCAGGCCGGGTTTTTGCATCTAGTGTACTATTTATCCCTAAGCCTGTTTGCCTATTCACTAAGTAGCAGCAAGATCTGTGCCATATTCTTTTGGCAGAAACTCCCCATACCCTGTGTTGACCCCGTCTCTTGGTTGAATCAAAAGGTCATCTTCCTTTTCTGCTTTACTCTTTTTGGGTAGAATTTTGGGTCGTGAGCCTAGCCTTTAATAACTGAGCCCTCTCTCCAGCCCCTTTTTGGGTAGAATTAAGTCTCTTAATTGTTTGTGAAAAGTTCTGCAAAGGAGACAGACAACCTTGAGGTATGTGTGCCTGAAAACATACTTAGCTTCCCTAAGGTTTGATTGATAGCTAAGCTGGGTATGCAGTTCTTAGATGGAAGCGATTTTTGCTTAGAATTCTGTTATTTGTTTCATTTTGACTGAAACGTTTTCTTTGACTGTAGCCTAACCTGGCCTCACCGTGTTATGGGCAAAGATAACCATGAACTTCCAGTCTTCCTGCATCTGCCTCCTAGTTGCTGGCATTAGAGTGATGGGAAGCCACACCCAGGTTCCCTTGGAATACTGTCGCTGTGCCTCAGGCGCCTTTGTTTGCCCGTGCCTTTTGTCTGTCCTCTCAGGGTATCGGGACCATTCTTGTTCCAGTGCTCTGAGATTCCTGGGCCAGGACAATGCTCTTTGCAAACTTTAACTCTCAGAAGCCATGTTGTTTCTTGGATCTCTTTGGTGCTCTGTCTTTCCTGTTTTTAAGTCAGAAAACACTCGTCTTATTTTCTTAGTTTTGTGCCTGTTACTTTCCATTTCTTTCTGTTCTTTCGGGCGATTTCCTCCCCTCGGCCTCCTACTGTCTTCCGTCTCTGCTGTCGTGTTAAAGTCCCCAGCGCTTCTGCAGGCATGCTCTTTACTTCACTGAGCCCCTGTGGCAGTTTTCCTGGTGCTCCCCATGTGCTCCCAGTGTCTCGATGCATGTCCACCCCCCCCCCTCATAACACTCATCTCCCATCTCAGAGGCGTGCTATCTCTTACCCATGCACTCAAGGACAGCTTTCAGCTGTCACTCAGTCACAGTGCGAGGAGACATCTGTGCATGGCCCTTTTCCTGGATAGCGCCGGGCTTGCTTTGGCTAGGGAATCTTTGGGTTCAGAGTCTTACCTTAACTCTTTCCTTAGAAACCAGATTCTCTGTGACCTGCTGTTCAGGGGGTGTGAGTGGCTGCCACATCCTCCACTAAGTGGGACATGAGTGTCTGTGTGGCTGTCTTAGGCCGTTCCTGCTGCTTCCCTGATCGCTGATGTATACAGCAGTCTCTGATCTGCATGCATTTTCTTTTTCTCATGGAACCCTCTGGATAGAGTGGGGCCCTGGGTGTGAGCTGAACCCCTGCTTTCCTGAACAGTCCTGAGCCCGCTGCCTACCCCTTCGTGGTGCCTGGCTCTGTCTAGTGGTGCAGTGGGAAGTGGGTTGCTCCCTGCCCACCAGCAGCTCTTACCGTTTGCGTCCCTCCTGTACTCAGCCTGTTACTTGCCCCTGAATATTGCACCTTCCGGGTCTCATTGCTGGCGCCCTCCTCCTATGTTCCTGCCCCCTGGGATTGTGCCCTAAAGGGTCTGGATGACATAGTAGGTTTCAGGAGCATAGTCAGTCCGCAGGTCTGATGGCAGCAGATCGTCACGATCGCATGGTGCTCCCACCCTCCCCGTGGCGTCCTCCCTCTGCTGCTCTCTTTCCACTCAGCCATCTTCTTTCCAAACCTGTGTTGATGTTAGCAGATGCTGCCATTCACCGCACGACCAGCCCAGTAGCTTGGTAGGTCATTGATCCAAGTAAACCGTTACAGTTTAAAAAACAAACAAACAAAAAAAGGTATTATAGAAAGAAATGATTTCCAAAAACCTGATTGTCCAGAAAGACTTTTATTTACCAGGAGGGCTCAATGAATTGGGCTAAACGGTCTTAAGGCAAAAACCTAAAATAAATAAAAACCCAAGTATTGATCGGTTCTTCTGTAAACTTTGGAAGGTTAGCAGTGATATATTTGTCAGTTTAGTCTTAAATGTGAATACCCAAAAAAAAAAAAAAAGGTGAAAAACACATTAGTAATGTTTTTAATTAGTACTGCTCCCCCCCCCCCTTCATTCTGAGACAGTCTCACTGTGTAGCTGTGGCCGGCCTGGAACTCAGAGATTCACCTGCTTGTGTCCCCTGAATGTGCCACCTCTAGAACACTGGCTTTGAAGTTGAATCTCTGAGTTCTGGCCCACACTACACAGAAGTAGGGAGCCAGGCAGATCTGCTCATCGCCTTTTTCCCAGGCTGCAGAAGTTTCCTGACTGGGGACAGTGTTAAGTGTCTCCTCTTTCCAGAGCCTTCTAGTAGCAAGCAGAATCAGACCAGACAGAGTATGAACTGTCAACAGTCAGTGACTAAAAGATGCCAACCTCTGTATACTTCAGAGCAAAGCAGGGCTGGCCACACATAACGCTGCAGATTAAACTTGTTAAACATTGCTTTTATTTCCAGAGCTGAGCCGAGACCTGCAGAGACAGCGGGCAGCTACCCAGTGAAGGCATCTCTCTCTTATGTGAGCTGTAGACATGGGGTTACTGATGGCCTGAGGCAAACTCATTTTGATAACAAATTCCAGATAATTTTATTGTTTGAAGCATCGATCACTACAAAATCCTAGCCCTCTTTGGCCACGGTGCTATGCCCAGTGAACAGCTCTCTAGATGAGGTTGGGGTCATGGTAGTACTTCCCCAGGAAGCCCAGTTTATAGTATATGCTGCATAAATTCTAAGTGAAAATATGTGTGCTGCCCTAGGCAAACAAAGTAGGCTGTGTAATCTTTGTGCTGTAGCCCAGCTATGCCAATTACCAGTCTAGAGCTTTAGGACATGGCATGATTTGATTGCCTTAATTAGGCCTGCTCTTTAAAGCTTCTGGGGTGGCCATTGTGAGCTCCTAGAAGAAAGGGGTCTTCAATAAGTTTCCAGAGTGAGCAAGGATACAGCTTACATTTGCTGCTGCTGCTTCCTTATCTTTATTACCTTTTTTTTTTTTTTTTAATAAAGTCTTATGAACCCACACTGGCCTCCAACTCTCTATGTAGCTAGGAATGGCCTAGAACTCCTGATCCTCTTGCCTTCACCTCCCAAGTGCTGGGATCATAGGCATAATAGATATGTAGACACTAGAAATAGCTTGGTAACTAGCTGGAAAGATGGCTCCGCAGTTAAGAGCATTTGCTGCTCTTGTAAAGGAACTAACTGGGTTTGGTTCTCAGCACTCACATGGCAACCCACAAAGATAACTCCCCCAATGCCTTCTTCTGGCCTCCACAGGCACATATGGTATGCATACATACCTCGAGGCAAATAATCATACACATCAAATAAAAAAATCTTAAGAAGAAATAGTGTCATGAGATGGCATCATCTAGTGGTATGCCTGTCTCTGAGCATCTTCCCCTTGACTTTACCTGCCTTCGTGTCATGTCCTTGAGTTGCCATCACAACTCATTTGACGTCCTGACTGTGTCTGTAATTTCATCCTAACCTGTGCAGGATGCAGCACTCCGAGCTCCACTAACGGGGCTTCGGCACGGGTTCCCTGCCATCAGTCCTGTTTAAGGGGCCTCAGCGTGTTAACCTGTGTCACTGCTACCAGCCCATGTGGTTTTGGTCAGTACCAAACAAAGGTAAAAATACACCTGCGGCCAGTCGTTTGTCTGTTCAGGACAAATCCTCAAACTCCTCCGCAGGCACAGGACGGCTTCTGTGACGCCCACTTGTCAAGGCTGTAGAACTACAAAAGGGACGAGTGTGAAGCTCTCAGCACAGTGCCTGACACCTAACTGGTATTCTGAGGGTGTTGGCTTTGGCAGCATTTTGAGCAGTCCCCTTTTTTCCCTTAGGATGAGATTGATTCTGCAGTAAAGATGTTGTTATCATTAAAAATGAGCTATAAAGCCGCCATGGGGGAGGATTACAAGGCTGGATGCCCTCCAGGGAACCCAACAGCTGGGAGTAATAGTAATCCAAATGCCGCAAAAGCCAACGAGGATTTTGTGGACCCATGGACAGTACGGACAAGCAGCGCGAAAGGCATCGACTATGACAAGCTCATTGGTGAGTTCGCACCTTCTTCCCTCACAGCATCCACAATGCTTAGTGGTGACCACCGTGTCGTTCCCATTCCCTTCGGTGTTCTAAGTATGTGTATTTATCTGTACAAGCACTTTTGTACATTTTTAATTTGTCCATAAGTGCATACCCTGGGTAATGACAATAAACAGGATATTTAACATGTTTACCACCGACAACATTCCTGTTTGTCTGTGGCAGGGATATTCAGGGTCCTCTCCGGTAGCTGCTGTGAAATACACAATACATTATTGTTGATGGCATCACCCTGCTGGTGGTCCACCAGCACCGACTCCTCTACTCTCACTGTGGCCAGCCTGTCTCCATTCTCTTTCCCTGCCTTGTGCTCTCCCTGAGATCTCACATAGGATGGCATCCCGTGGTATTTGATCTTCTGTGCATTGCTCATCCGGCTTGTCCATGGGGCTCGTCTATTGTAGGATCCCATTTCCTTTCATAACTGTGTTGTACTCTGTGTGTGTGTGTGTGTGTGTGTGTGTAAATGTTACACTTTCTTCGTCCATTCAGAAACACAAAGGGAGATTCCATCTTGTCTAATCCAGACTGTGCTTTAAACATACTGATTTCAATATCTTTGGACACATATGTGATATTTTTAAAATTTTGAATTATTCCCAAGTGAAAAGCTTCAATATTAAGAAGCAAGTAGATCCTAAAACCCTTTGGTTGTATGTTATAGTCCCAATGGATTATTTTTAAATTAGATAACAGTAAAGCAGGTGTGGTGCTTCACACTTGTCACCCTGCAGTGAGTAGTAGAGGCAAAAGGGCCTGAAGTCACCCGCAGCCACATAGTAAGATGAAGGCACAGCCTGGACACACAGATGTGCCTCAAGAGACCAAAGTTTTAACATATTTCAAAATCATGATCTGAAGCAAGCAGGTTGGTAGGTTTTCCTGCTGTGGGGTAGTTCAGAACTTTGAACCATCATGTGGTTGCTGGGAATGTTAACTCAAGACCTCTGGAAGACCAGCTGGTGTTCTTAGCCACTGAGCCATCGCTCCAGCCCCTGTAGTTCAGAACTTTAGAAAGCTTTAGTGTGGTGGGCATGTTTGCTAGCGAGGTCTCACCATTACACCCTTCCTCCAAGGCACTTCCTGTCCACTGATGTCATTGATAATAGTCAAGGAAGAAGCAACTGAAATGTCCATGTCTGCATCAAAGCTACCTCCATAACCTAAAACGCAGACTGTTGCTGGGGGAAAGGGTCTTCAGGACCAGCATGAGTGAAGGTCAGCAGTTTGAGCAATGTGGAAAGTGTGCTTGTTGCCGGTGAGTGTAAGCCACACCCTAAGATGCGTGTGTGCATCAGAACTGGCAGCTAGACTGTGTTCTGGGTGTGTTCTCATCACAGTCTAGACTCAGGCAAATAGCACTGTGGCGTGTGGTGTGTCCCTGTTTGGCTGACTGGGGTCTCAGCTGTTTGGATACTAAGGTCCTTTCGTTTTGTATGAGGGGAAGGATCACAGCCCAGAGCCTAAAGAGATTTGGACCACTGAAACGGGTAACTAAGTCTTCTGGCGTGTAAGAAAGTCATGTCTGTTTCCTGGTGTTTTTGCAGTTCAGTTTGGAAGCAGCAAAATTGACAAAGAGCTGATAAACCGAATAGAGAAAGCCACTGGCCAGAGACCACACCGTTTCCTGCGCAGAGGCATCTTCTTCTCCCACAGGTCAGGTCCTTCCTCTGCTCTGTGTTCATAGACTTGGGAGGTGCTGGGGAGGCCTGGTGCCCTGGGCAAGTGGGACCGTCGTAGTAACTCACTGTGGAGTCACCCTGTCCTTTCTCACCTGCAAGCCCTTGCTCCTTTGTAAACTGGCCACCTCACTCTGCAGGTGAAGTGCAGTCACATCGCCCGCTTTAAATCGTTAAAGGGCAGGAAAGCGAGAGAATATCAGGTCCAACTTTAGTACTTGCCCTGCGGTAAGCTGTAAACTTCCTCCCACTCGTGAATGACATCAAAAGAGTTTACGGCAGAACCCATGGGACAGAGCCTCCCTAACTTGGGCCATAAACTTCATGCAGATAACATAAAAATGGGCAAGTTCCATCCCACAGATTGCTTTTCGTCTTCGCAGAACTGACAGCCTGAGGTCAGGGTGCTCTGTTCTACTTGAACTTCAAGGATCTCCCAGGAAAGGACATTTCTGCCCAGACATTTCACATCATGCCTACAGCAAGCTCTGGGCCCCGCTCAGCCCACATGCTGGACAAAATATAATCAGTGTTTTTCTTAATTGAAATTAAATTCTGGGTCAGTGATATGGATGGGTCAGCGGGTAAAGGTGCGCACTGCCAAGCCCAGCAACCTGAGTTCTATTCCCAGGATCTAGTGGATGGAAGCAGAGAAGAACAGATTTCCACAGAGTACCCTGTGACACTCACATACACTCCCTGGCATGAGTACACACACAGAAAGATACACAAATAATAAAATGGGATTTTACACACCCTTAATCCCAGCACTTGGGAGGCAGAGGCAGGGGGTTCTCTGTGAGTTTGAGGTCAGCTTGGTCTATGTAGAGTTTCAGGGTAGCTGCAGCTACACAGAGAAACCCCGTTGGGGGCAGGGTGGCGGGACTTGTGGTGGTATTGAGGGCTGGTTAGATGGAAACCTGAATTCAGTGCCCAGGTCCCACAGGGTATGAGGAAAGAACTAATTCCCAAAAGTTGTTCTCTGACATCCACACATGCAAGAACACTCACACACACACACACACACACACACACACAGAGAGAGAGAGAGAGAGAGGTAATAAAAATTCTTGTGAAGACATTTAATTGATGTACCATAGAATTCAACTATAAACTGTGCTAGTCATTGATTTAGTGCTTTTGCAAAATTGTATAACCATTGCAACAGTTTAATTAAATAGCTTTTTCCCACCCAGCAGGGAACCCTCCTGTCAGCAGCCCCTCCCAGCTCCCAGAACTGGGTGATGGGACATACCTGTAGTCCCAGCACTAAGGAGGTAGAAGCAGGAGAAGCACAAATTCAGGGTCCGTCTTGGCCGCATAGTCAGTTCAAGGCTAGCCTAGAAAGAAAGCAAGTCCAACAAATTCTCAGTTAAAAATGTGAGTCTTAAAACTGAATTCTTTTTCAAGATTACTTTTATATTCTTGGCTCTTTGCACTTCAGTGTGAGTTTTAAAGTCAGTCTTTTCTACAAAAAAGGCCTCTAGGGTTTTAATAGCAGTTTGTCAATGCAAAAACGTAGCCCTCACCTTCTCTGGGAATAAGAGTTAATTTATTCTTGAGCCAAATATGGGTGTGACCGTAGCCCAGGGACAGACGCCATGTCCAGTATGGTAGGAGCGTAACAGAACTTCTGTACTCAGAGCAAGAGAACAGAAGAGAGTCGTGAATCGGACACTGTTAAGATGCATTAGCGAAGACAGCAGGTCAGTGTCTGCAGTAGGCCTGAGGGGCTATCTGGTGACACTCCTAGCTTTTGGACTGGTGGCAGCTCTAGTGGTCTCTTGGTGCATTCCAAAACATTACCTGATAGTCACAAGGCTGTCCAGTCACAAGCTAAGGTGGGCAGTGACTGGCTATTGAGGAAGCTAACATGGCCCTTCCCCATAATGTTCTGACCCACTTGTAAGGCCACCATGTCTGGCCACCCTGCAGAGTCTTGAGTACAGGTGGCGCTTTCTCCTGGGACTTTAGTGTACACACTATTCCAGATCTGTTGGCCAGTTCGGTAAACATTGTGAGCCTAAAATGCTGTCTTAAGTTTGGGGTTTTTCTTTTTTGAGACAGGGTCTCACTGTAGCCTGAGCTGGCCTGGAACCGTTGTTATTTCCAGTACAGAGTCTAAGTTTCCTGGGCTATCCTGGAGCTCACAGTACAGCCAAGTGCTAAGAGTACAGGCACGCACCATCATAGCCTGATTCAGGTGTGTGTGAAAGTGCAGGCATTGCGTGTGCATGTCATAGGACAATTACAGGGTCTCTCCTCTACCAAACTCCAGTTATGAAGCTTGGGAGTAAGCATCTTTGCCCCCTGAGCTGTTTTGCCATGTTGCTGATCTTAAAGCTTCTACCATCTTACAGCTCTCACCGCCCCGGGACTGTTTTTGTCAGTGTAATAACTCAAGGAATGCATTTACACACTCTGAAAGTGGATAGAAACCACTACCTAATGTTATCTATGAACTTGGGGGTGAAATGACATCTACAAGCTCATCTCTAACAAGGCCCTTCTGGAAGGGCATGCATAAGATAGACTTTGAACTGGGCCTGGCCTAGTGAGCTCTCAGGTATGGGCTGTGACCACATGAAAAGCAATTCTTGGGATGGGTTTTCTCTCTTCCGTGTGCCCATTAAAAGTTACTGAAGCAGGGTGTAGTAGCACACACCTCCAACCCCAGAACTCAAACGACTTCACAGGCGGGCAAGAGAGGCCAGCCTGGTCTAGATAAAAGTCCCAGGACAGCCAGAGCTACACAGTAAGAAAGGCCCAGTCTAAAAAACAAGAGCAAACAAAGAAGCAAAACAACAGTTACTTGGATAAATAGAGAAACGGAGGAGCAGCCTCACAGTGCAGCACAAGCCCCTGTGGTCCACGGGTCAGCACCTGGTCAGCAGGCAGGGATGGAGTTCTCAGGCCACTCATGACTACACAGCAGGACCCTGTCGCAGAAAAACAGGCACTTGGGAAGTAGACACAGGCAAATTAGGGGTTCAAGGTCATCTCCCGCTACATACTACATTCAAGGCCAGCCTGAACCAAATGAGACCTTCCCTGTTTAAAAAGGAAGAAAGAAAAATGCTATGTACAAAACCCACCAAGCCGGAAACCAGCATTGTGCCTTTTGCCTTAGATCATGAGAGAATGTTGTCTGTTCATTTCTTTTTTGAGGCAGGGTCTCATGGCCCAGGCTGACTTGTAATTCACTGTGTAGCTGAGGCTCTCTTGATGAACTCCTGACCCTTCTGTCCCTACCATCAAAGCACTAAGATTGCAGGGATTGCCACTACTGCTGTCCATAGGGCACTGTTGTCTAGACCCTTCTATCCAAGCTTCTGGGAAAGGGGTGTCTTATGCTTTATCTGCAGCACTTCTGCCCAGAAGTAGGATACTCATGCCTAGGCTTTGCTTGGTTTCAGACACAGAAACACGCATATACACTTAAACAAAAACAAATTTTAAAAAAGAAAGAGGCTGGACATGGTGGCGCAAGCCTTTAATTCCCGCTCTGGTAAACAGGCGGATCGCAGAGTGTGGGGTCATCCTGGTCTACAATGAGTTCCAGGACAGCCAGAGCTACATAGTGAGACACTGTCTTAAAGAAGGAAGGAAGGAAACCACAAATTCCAGGCTAGGGTGTGGCTTAGTAAATTAATGCTCGCCATGCAAACATGACCTGTTATGAGTAGTTTTCCCACCGGTCTGGACCCACCACCGCACCAGCCCCAAATAATACACAGAGACGCTATATTAGATATAAAGCTGTGGCCAGTAACTAGTGTTACTATTAACTATCTCTGTCTTAAATATTAACCCATTTCTATTAATCTAAGTTTCCACGTGGTGTTATCAGAGAGAGGGGCTGGCATTCTGCTCTCTCCAGTCTCTCCATGCTGACTCCTCCCTACCACTTCCTCTCTCCTCCTTGTCTCCTCGTTCCGCCTTTCTTGCTTTCCTATTGGCCAACAGTGCTTTATTCATTAACCAATAAGAGAAACATATTTACAGAAGGACATCTCCCATCAAGGACCTGAGTTCAGGCTCCTGAACCATATGACAAACCAGGTATGATGATGATATGATGTAATACCAATGCTTGGGAGACAGAGAAAGGCAGGTCCCTGGGGCTCACTAGTGAGCCAGCCTAGCCTACTTGGTGAGCCCCAGATCCCATTAAGAGACCTTGTCCTGAGAAACAATACTTAAAGTTACCCTGACACCCCCCCACACACAGCCATACACACACACACACACAAATCCCAGATACTGCCTCAGATCTTAGCGCCTGCAGGCAGAAGCGGACCTTGATGCTGGTCACAGCCACTGATTGTGCCCCCACCCTGGAGAAGGTTCCCAGAGAAAGACCCAAGGTCCAAGCTGGCCGGGATTGTCAAGTCAGCTCTTCAGCTGGTGACTTCATCCCGAACTGCCAGGACCTACCTATCTGTCCTGCCCAAGCTAGACCTGCATGGAACCCTAAAACTCTCCTAGGCTTAGTCTCTACAGTTTCAGATTTGGTGGGCTCTAAAGGGAGGTGAGTGTGGTACTGGCCAAGTGTCCCGTCCCAAAGGGTTGTGGAAAGCACTAAGTGCATTTTCTTTGATCATTGGAGGCATTCCAAAAGGTACCAGTGGCATATTTATGCTCATCTTTTAAAATATTGGCCCACAGATAGCATCTCACTAAGTGGCACTAAGTGTCCTGGAGCTCACGGTGTAGACCAGGCTGTCCTCAAATTCAGAGATCCTCCTGCCTCTGCCTTCTGAGTGTGGGATTTAAAGGTCTGGGCTGTCACATTTGGCCCAGATTTTAAGCGTTTTATTCCTAACTTGTATAGAACGAGCCCTCTCAAGAGTTGCTGCCTGACGTCGTATTCCCCAACACCAAAGACAGATTCTGATGATCATCTATGTTTATCTATGTTTATCTGTTTCATTTCCAGATGAGCTTTAGTGATTCATATTTTTTCCAGAAAATGACACCATTCTTTTTCTCTTTCCCTTTAGAGATATGAATCAAGTTCTTGATGCCTATGAAAATAAGAAGCCATTTTATCTGTACACAGGCAGGGGCCCCTCCTCTGAAGCAATGCATCTGGGTCATCTCGTCCCATTTATTTTCACAAAGTAAGTGTTGCTCATGTGACTTGTCACTTCCCTAGTGAAGCAAGAGTGGAAGATAAGGCTGCTGTCTGTTGACTTGAGCTACAGGACTAGGACCTTGCCACCTGTTCGTTGCGTTCGCCCCCAGGCTTATTCTGAAAGAGCCAGGTGTGATGGGCGACCACCACCGTAGAATCAACCAGACACTCTCCACTCCCCTTCCTGTCACCATAGGCCCACTCTAGGCCAAGCCTGGTGTCCATGTCTGCCAGGTGGCAGGAATTACTCAGAAAGCGTCATTAACGAAATGTATGGCATTGATAGTGCATAGTGCAGTTTCGCAGTCACAGAGTAGGTAGGAGCTGTGTTCACTTACAGAAGTGGCATCCTTTGTGCAGGATCTCCATTCTCCATGTCCATAAATTTGGCTGCAGGGAATGTCCATGCCTACAGATACCTTCTGTATTTTGTAGGTGGCTGCAGGATGTGTTCAACGTGCCTTTGGTCATCCAGATGTCTGATGATGAGAAGTACCTGTGGAAGGACCTGACTCTAGAACAGGCATACAGCTACACAGTGGAAAATGCCAAGGACATCATTGCCTGTGGTTTTGACATCAACAAAACTTTCATCTTCTCTGACCTTGAGTTTATGGGGTAAGGAAGAAACATTTGGCTACCTCTGAGCAAGTGGGTGCAGACGTCATGACCAACATGAAATGCTGGAGTTGGGCTATGGCCTGGTTGTTCTTCTGTTGTGATCTGGAATGTTGCTTTCATTTAGCAGTAATTTTTGAGGTGGAAAGCTGTGTGTGCACAGAGAGACATACTGTCAGAAACTCCTGTTGCCCTTATAATCTTATCTTTAGAAATCATAAAATTCGCCCAGCATAGTCATGGTGTCACCTCCAACTGTCGTAGTGAAGTGTTTTGCACTGTAGTGTCGTGTCCAAGGACAGCCAGTCTCAGAGTCTGATAGCCTTCTCACTTCCAATGCGACTTTTCCCTCAGAGGAAGTGCCACTTGTTAGATGTGTTCCGCACTGCCCCATTTCTTAAATTGGCCATGTTTGTATCAGCATACTTCATTCGTGAACGTCATCCCCAGTGATTACTAAGAAGCTTGGTAAAACCAAATTTTGAAGCAAGTTTTGAACCAACCCCATTACTCAGAGGCCTGAAGAAGCAGGGTCAGGAGTTCAGGGGTAACCCAGGGCTATACAACAAGACCCTGTCGGAAGAAACAGACGGGTGGAGGTGGTGCTATTGGTCAGCCATCATAAGAGTGCTATTCGAGCCCTGTGGCACACAGCTCTAATCGCAGCACAGGCTGCCGATATACTCGGAATGCATAGTTAGAACCTGTCTCAAAAATTAAAAAAAAAAAGGGTGAAATAGTGAATACTGTTTATTGAGCTCCACAAACATTTTTTGAGGGCTGGGGTGTGGCTCGGTGGTAGAGCGCTTCCCTAGTATGAGGCCCTGGGTTTGTCCCCCACCATGGTGGGGTTTGGGAGGCATCAAGCCTAGAGCACTAGAGAGGTGGGCTTCACTCAAGGGAGTTGATTCAGCAGGTTGGATGGGCTTGGGGCTAGGGGCCCTCTCGTGTAGTGTTACAGCCACGGCAGTGTGAGGAAGCACACGCGTGTGGACACAGAGGCGTTTGGCTGTGGCTGTTCCCCAGCTGCCAAGGGGGACCTGTGTGTCCACCAGGACAGGAAATCTGACCTTTGACCAGCAAGGAAAATCATTAAATTTTTAAAATATTTTTATTATGCTGGGTGTGGCAGCACATGTCTTTAATCCCAGTTACATTTTAATTTGAGTGAGTCAGGAGTGGGGGGGTCGGATGTCTCACAGGGTAGTTCTCTACTTCCACGGTGTGAGTCCTAGGAATCAAATTCAGGCCATCAGGCTTGGTGGCAGACACTTCTTGCCTGTCCCTCCCCACCCCTCAGAATCAGACTGTTTTTCAGTTGTGTGAACATTGAAGGAATGGTCTTATGGAAGCATAGATGTCATCGGACTTGTCACCTCCTTCCTTAAAATAGCCTGATGCCATGGATCTGCCCCCCCACCCACCCCCCCAGCCAGGCTGTTGACAGAGCACCGTGACTGGTAGCCTTCATTTGTGAGTCACCCTCCATGTATCGCTTAGGCTGGCCTTGAACTCCTGGACACGAGTGATCGCTGAGGCCAGAGTCCTGCGCCCAGCTTCTGGTCTGCAGCACCCATCCTTCACTGCAACCCCTCCCTCTCTTGTCCGCACCTCAGCCTTGCCTGGTGCCCCAGCTTGGGTCAGCAGGGGCTCACTTTGCTCTCAGCACACAGACTCTTGTGTTTTTGGCCCTGCGTTCCTTTCGCAGCACTGCCATCTCCAACCTTTGCGAACAAAACGTTATCCCCTGAGCCCTTCGCCCTGTATGGCTGACTCCTTCACTCTTCCTCCTGTGAATGTTAAGACCCCTTTTCCTGGAGAGACGCCCTGCTCTGGTCCCTGCTACACACAACTGCCAATCTGACAGAGAAGGCCCTCTGATGGGCCACATACAGCAAATAAGTCAGACACGTAGCGCCCTCATCTGCACCCTAGGGGCAAGTCCCCGTCTGGGCCCTGAAAACATAGCACGGGTTTGACTAACGCTGTCCTCCCTGGACTCGAACGTCTGTCTTAGTTAGGGTTTCCATTACTGGGATGAGACACCATGGCCAGAGCAAGTCGGGGACGAAAGGGTTTATGTGGCTCACACTTCCACATCACTGTCCATCCCTGAAGGAAGTCAGGACTGGAGCTTAGGCCCCTTTCAGCACATTCCAAGCCGAGCTGGTATTTCTGTCTGTGGTGGCCTCAGTGAGAACTTTCTCTCATCAGGGGTATGGGGTGAAGTTGAATATCAGAAAACACATCTGCCCCATTAAGAATTTCTTCTCTTTCTTTGTTTTCTGTTTTGAAATGAGTTCTCACTGTGTTGCCCCGGCCTTGGATCCCAAGTACTGGTGACTACAGTTAGGAAGCTCATGTGCCACCACACCCAGCAAGAATTTCCTTAAACACTTGAGCATCTACTTTCCTGGCTTAAACTTAATCTGGAATCTTATCTGTGATCTAACAAGCCTGTAGGTCCTTTGAGCTACAAATACAAGGAAGCCAGACTCCACTCTTCTTGGTAAGGAAGGAAGAAGTCAGTAAGAAGTCAGTCTGTCCCTCTACCTGCCTCCCGCTCACACCCCAGGGGGCCTCCCTTCCAGTGACATATCCCCAGTGTGTCCCTCTCCCGCTCACACCCCAGAGGGCCGCCCTTCCAGTCATCCAGTCCCCGCTCTGCTCCAGGTTCCTCTTTGGTAAGTCCCTGTATTTCCCAGTTTGGTCTTTTCTTTGCTGGAAATGGAACTGAGAGCCTTGTGCGTGTTAGGCAAGTGTCTACCAGTAACCTGCATTCATAGCCTCTACAGCTTATCTTCTAATGGGGCAGTCAGTTAGCACAATTAGGAGACAGTGAGGTTAGTGTTGGGAGATAAGGAAAAGGTGGAGGTAAAGAAGATTAGAGCTGATGGTCCCTGCTGCCAAGCCTGTGGACACTTTCTGAGCCGATGAGTGTAAAGCTCCTCTAAGGGTGCCTGGCACTTATTGCCTGGACAATGTCGCCTTTCAGCTGTCTTCCATGTATGGAGCCTGTGTGTGGGAGGAAGTCTTCCCGGGGCATTTGTCCGGCTGTGGGACACAGTCGAGTCTGCCCCTTGTTGATGTGCAGTGTCAGGCAGCGCTAAGAGTCATGTGGAGTCTGTCCCCATGCGGGCTCCATCCTGCTACCACCAGGGCACATCTTGTGCAGCAGGATCTGGCTAGAAGGCCAGTTCACGGGTGACCCCCATTCCGTCACCTTGATCCCCAGAATGCTTGCCGCCTTCGATGGTCTCCTCGGGGGCACATGGCTGCTGCTTCCCAGAAGCCCCTTCACACTCTGCAGTTTTGTTGTGTCGAGCATGTGACTAGACGTGGGGATGCTCCTTCACTGCCCTCCCCCTGCTCACCCAGGCCCCGAACCTGTGCTGACTACTGAGTGGCAGCCATAGAGATTACCCACTGCTGACCCAGTGCCCATACGGGGGACTAACGTGCCCCGCTCTCTGCCCCCTCCCGCCTGCCCAGAGACACTGGGGCTGTCCATACCTCAGCGAAGCTGCACCACAGCGGTGGCATGACGCAAAAGGCTCAGGCTTTGGGGCCAGGTGAAACCTGGTTAGATCTCAGCTCCTGTGTGCACAGGGCCTGTGACCATGGCCTGGACCGTCAAGGCTCCGCCTTCATCTGAGAAGCCAAGGCCATGCTTCTCAAAGGGAATTGTGCCGGTCAGCGTGCCACATCACATGTGCCTCGGCGTTTTCCCATTCTCTAGAGTACCACACAGCTGTAATTGATGAACACTGTCGATGTGTGTGAGCGGGAACTGATGTGCAGCTGGCAGAGGGACACTGGGCCTGTCATTGGCTTTTAACCCTCAAAGCCACCCCACTGGCACACTTCCACAATGGGCCACACCTTCTAATTCTCCACCGGCTGAGGATATTCACACCACCACAGCCTACATGTGTGTCTGGGTACCGCGTGCATACAGCACTCGAAGAGGCCAGAAAGTGGCTGGAGCTACCCTGGAACTGTAGCTATGCATGCTTGTGAGCCACCATGTGTGGGTGCTGGGAGCACGCCCAGGGCCCTGGGGAAGCAGCCAGTGCTCTTACCCACTGGGCCACCTCTCCAGTCCTAGTAAAGACATTTATTGTGCCCAATTCTCAGCGTAAAAACATGGTACTGGCATCTGTCACCCCCTAGCTGAAGACAGCAAGGGAAGCAAACCCTTGAATTGAAGAGAGGGAGGGAGGAAGGTATAACCCATTCTGTAACAGCAGCCTCAACCCAGCCTCCGCAGTGCCATGACCGTGGAGCCTGCCTCTAGCATAGCTGCTGCCGGACATTGCGCTGCGTCTACACCTCCTCCCTTTCTGTCTTTCCAGTGCGTAGCAAAGGGCCAGGCTGAAGAAAGGGATGCTGTCAGCAAACAGTGTAAGGAGTAGGGGCCGGGCCCCAGAGGGATGTCCAGGGGTTAAGAGCATTTCCTGCTCTTGCGGAGGACCCAGGTTTGGGTCCCAGCACTGACATGGTGACTCACACCATCTGTGCCTCCTGTTTCAGGGGCCCAACACGCTCCTCTGGGGTCCCAGGCATGCACGTGATGCACATACATGCAGGCAAAGTACTCATGAGTAAAAGTTTAAAAAAGAAGCCATGCCGGCCGTTGATGGCGCTGGCCTTTAGTCCCAGCACTGGGGAGGCAGTGGCTACCCTCTGCCCTCTGTGCTCTGTCATCCGGCTTCCCTCTGGCATCAGCATGGCTGTCACAGATCAAGGCATCAGATCCATGGCTTTCACCATCCAGAAAAGTCATGCTGCTCAAACCAACCAGTAAGGCAAACCCTGTTGCTAGGTGTGAAGCCAGCCCTGCCCTAAGTGCAGAGTGCCACTACCGTAGTGGCCGGATGCTGTAGCCGGATGCTGGGGGAGCACCTGTGCTGCAGTCAGCCAGGGATACAGAGAAACCCGTCAGTTTCCCTGCGTTCCGGCTGGGCACCCGAGTCTCATCACACCATCGTGTAGCAGCCAGCAGAGGGCCTCTTCCTTGAGATCCACAGTATGCTGAGCAATGTCTCTGTTCACGCCCCTTCACAGTTAGAGGTGTAACGGCTATAGTTGTCTGCCTGCACATGACTTCTCTATGTACTCCTGTTATGCATGAGCTGAACACGTGTGTTACCCAGTGTGTGTCTGGGTGTGTTACCCAGTGTGTGTCTGGCATGCCACTCACTGATGCCCAGTTTTGGCCACTGCAACTTTGTTGCCCGTGGAGGCTGTCCTCCAGCTCATGTTAATTCTGCTCATCTCTGCAGGCAGAGCCCAGGCTTCTACAAGAATGTGGTGAAGATTCAGAAGCATGTCACCTTCAACCAAGTGAAAGGCATTTTCGGCTTCACTGACAGTGACTGCATTGGTAAGGGGCTGTTGCTGCCTGGGGGCCCCTGTCTTTGTGGGACTGGGAGCTCAGAGGAGACTAGATAGTGTCCTTAAAAGTCACAGTGCAGCAATGTTAGGCAGTGATGGTACACGACTTTAATCCCAGCACTCAGGAGGTAGACGCAGGTGAGTTTGAGGCCAGCCTGATCTACAGAGTGAGTTCTAGGGCAGCCAGGGCTGTTACACAGAGAAACCCTGTCTCAAAAAAAAAAAAAAAAAAAAAAAAAAAGCAGCAACACCAAAGCCTGAGCTAACATACCTGGGGTGTGGTGTGTGTCCCAAGAGATAGATTTATACATACAGCAAATGCTACCACTGAGCCCCTCGCCATCCCAAGTATCTGCTCCTTAAAGTGCCCGCCTAGAGACCTGAGATGTTAGAACTTCATTTAAAACACTCAGAGGTGGGCGTCCGCCAGACTCAGACAGACAAGACTGGCTGGGGTTCTCCATCATGCTGGTGTGACCCCAGTCGCTAGAGGGCTTAGTAGAGTCCAGAAGAGTTATGGGAGAGCAGGTAGATCTGCTCTCTGTGGGAGCCTTTCCTGGTCCCCAGTCTCTCCACTTAGATAAGAGGTTTTATCAGAGTATGACAGCACACTCTTAATCCCAGCCCTCAAAGGCCAAGGCAGGCAGATCTCTTGTTTGGGGGCTAGCCTGATCTATATAGTGAGTCCCAGGCTAGTCAGGGGCCACAATGTGAGACCCTATCTCAAATAAGAAAGTGTATAAAAAGAGAGGGTTTTACTATCTACACGCCCTTCCCCTCCCCTACTCTCCTCCCCTGGCTTTGCCCCCACTTACACACACAGTATTTGCCAACTGTATAGACATGGTTGTGTCCCCAAGTCTCATTCCAGTGTACTGGCCTTTGTAGGCCATCATTTGAGACCTGTGGCCAGGCCTTCTATTGCCTGTGTCCACCTGTATCTAATCCTCCTCTTTGATAGTTCAGTCAAGCTCATTCCCAACAATTGGAGCATGGTCTTCCTGCTACTGAGAGGCTCTTGACGTTGGGTCTCAGCATCCAGGGTGACCCACAGTAGAGGTGGTGAGCAGCTAAGAAGCAGCGTCTTGTAACAGATCTCTGCCTTGCTTCAGTCCTGGTTCAGCTATGCACTTGCAGTGTGCAGCTATGGCAGGCTATGTAAACACCTGTGTCTGATCGTGAGTGTTTGTAAGATGGCAGGAGGCGCCTTGCCGTTACGAGGAGTAGCAAGCTCCTGGAAATGGCCGATGTGGTGATGCACCCTAAGGGTGGTGCTGGTGTCCAGGGCAGCCAGACACATTGGAGGGAGAAAGTTGCACAGGAGTGCATGGCATGGGCACAGCTGAGCACACTGAGAAATGCGACAAGAAACTGATGAGAGACCAGGGCTTCGAGGGGCGGTGGTGGCTTCGCGGGGCGGTGGTGGCGCGCACCTTTAGTCCCAGCACTCCGGAGACAGAGGCAGGCAGATCTGTGAGTTCGATGTCAGCCTGGACTACAAAGCTAGTTCCGGGACAGGCTCCAAAGCCACAGAGAAACCCTGTCTTGAAAGGCAAACAAACAAAATCATACAGAGACCCGGGGTGGGGCTCAACTTTTACCCAGCTCCCTTGCTATATTTTTAGGCTCTCTTTAGTTTGTTTTCAGTGGGAAGAAATCCATTGTTGATCCCTTTAATTGGATTGATTACCCAGAACAGCGGTTGGCTCAACACGTAAGAGTGTCTCCCTTCTTTCAGGGAAGATCAGTTTTCCTGCTGTCCAGGCGGCACCATCGTTCAGCAACTCTTTCCCGAAGATCTTCCGGGACAGGAGGGACATCCAGTGCCTCATCCCGTGCGCCATTGACCAGGTTGGAGGCAGAGCTGACTTGTGGGAGTGGAGTGGTGCTGGCTGTGGTTGCAGGACTGTCCCGGGGAGGTGGGGGTGACACCGTCCCGTTCCCCCCCCCCATGGTGCTGCTTGGACGGCTCACGGGCCAGAGCCTGCCTGGCCATCGGTCCCATTGTCTTCACCCAGCCTTCTCCACCTAGGACCCTTACTTCAGAATGACGAGGGATGTGGCCCCCAGGATCGGCCACCCTAAACCTGCCCTGCTGCACTCGACCTTCTTCCCTGCCCTGCAGGGAGCCCAGACCAAGATGAGCGCCAGTGACCCCAACTCGTCCATCTTCCTCACTGACACAGCCAAGCAGATCAAGAGCAAGGTGAGCCCGAAAGGAGCAGGGAGCATGCAAGTCCCTAACACGTCCCACGCCGCTCCCTCACGTGACCCTAACACCGTCTCACACAGCTGTCTCACGTGACCCTAACACCGTCTCACACAGCTGTCTCACGTGACCCTAACACCGTCTCACGTGCCGTGACCCTAACACGTCCCACGCCGCTCCCTCACGTGACCCTAACACCGTCTCACACAGCTGTCTCACGTGACCCTAACACCGTCTCACACAGCTGTCTCACGTGACCCTAACACCGTCTCACACAGCTGTCTCACGTGACCCTAACACCGTCTCACACAGCTGTCTCACGTGACCCTAACACCGTCTCACACAGCTGTCTCACGTGACCCTAACACCGTCTCACACAGCTGTCTCACGTGACCCTAACACCGTCCCACGTTGCTCCCGCAGTGATGCCTGATCCCACAGGACCGCTGCCCGCACAGCAGGAGAGCTGGGGTTTGGGTGGTTCGGGGGCTTGGGGTGTAGCGATTTGTTAGTCTTTGATCCCCTCCGCACAGGTAGGAACCTGGGGAATTTTTCTGTTTTCCTCTTTTTCTGTCTTTCTAACAGCATGTTGACACTGAAGCAGAGTCTTGGTAGTTTTCTTTAAAGCATAATCAGTGAAGCTCTTGTCAGATAATGTAGAACATGGCTCTCAGTCTGAACGTCAGACGGGGCAGGGCCAGTAACTGTGCTGGTGGTTTCTGAATTTCCTTTCCCTCAAGTCTACACCAGACCCTCAATAAACGGTTCATGTATTGAGACAGAGTCAGGGTAGACCCCGCTGTCACAGAGATCCACCTGCCTATGTTTATTGAATGCTGGCATTAAAGGTGTGCGCCACCACGCTCGGTTTGAAGCAGAGTCCTACCCTGAAGTAAAGCTCCTACCCTGGCACACTGCTCCAGAGTGATGGCAGCAACTTAGGCCACCGTTCTCTGGAATGCACTCCTGGAAAGAACTGAGAAGTACCCTCCAACAGGACTGCCATGTCTGGTTGTGCCCTTCTGGCAGGCAGTGGGTACTTAGTATATATTTGCAAGTCAATTGGAAACTGAAACTAGAAAGGAGTTTGCACATCCACCTGGTTCAGAGCAACAGAGCACTGTTGCTCAGAGCTGAGCTGCCAGTGAGTGCGAGCCCTTCATGGTTACAGGAAGTCACTGCTGTTTCCTTTGGACCCAAGTAATGTGTTTGTGATTGGATGGTCTAAGAGGAGTGAGAGGAACATATCTGGGGGGTGTTCTACAATAATAGTCAGAGTCCCTGCCAGGCCCCCTAGCCTTTGGAAAGTCCCAAACAAGTTCTGGTTGACAATGGGGACTTTTCATATCCAGCCCTTCCTCCGGAAATGGCTTACACCTGCCCTGCCTAACATGAGAGCTAATAGGATTGGGGATTTGGGGAAATCTTTCTTTCTCTTTTGCTTTTGCCTGAAACTTCCAGAATACAGAGGGCAATGGAGAAGTGAGGTGTGTGGTGGGGGACAAGTTCTGCTCAGTTTGAGAAGTTGGTTTTTAGAATCGGTTTGTATGACTCTGGAGAATTTCCCATTTGTAAAAGCCAGCAGAAACCCAAGGGTTAGGTAAGGAGCCTGCACGAGAGTAGAATCTGTGGGCCTGCAGAGGTCAGGGTCACTGGCAGGTCCTCTCCTGAGTCCAGACTCAGTCACCCTGGCAATGGCCCTGCTGCAGTCAGAATCTCCACAGCTCAGAGCCGAGACACCCCACAGCAGGGGCAGTCTCACAGTGAGGGAACCTGGCTAACACAGCTGCCAACCGTCAGGGGCCCTGATTACCTTGACCTGTGAGTCCACAAGGCAAGGTGAGTTTTCCCTCCACGTGTGAGCCTGCCACGTGGGTCTCCAGCAGACACCCGCTGGCTGGTGTCCTCCGTGAGTTCAGTCCTGATGCTTTCTTCCTGGAGAGTGCAGCACTCACAGCCGAAGGCCTCACCCCCGCTCTGTGCCCGATTCCCACTGCCCCTACCAAGGCTTCATCAGTTTGCTGGGACAGCTCACTGAACTCGGGGAAACGCCATCTGTTTATCATAAAGCAGGAAGGCTGTGGGTCCAGCCAGGTCTGGACCCATTTGCTCTTGTGAGTCAGCAGCCTGGGAGCCAAGCAGTTCCCCGGGAGGATTTGGGAGATTCCCAGGTTCTAGGAACTTTGTCCCAGGACAAAATATTCTCACAAAACATGACCCTATCACTGTGGAGAAGACCTTAGCCTTCTAGGCAGCTTGTGTGAGGTGCGAAGTCCTAGTGACCTTTACCCCTAGCTGTCATTCTTTTTTATTTATTTACTCAGTCACTCACTCTTGTGAGACAGGCTGTCACTGTGTACTGGCTGCTCTGGAACTCACTGTAGTCCAGGCTAGCCTCAGACTCACAGCTCTACCTGCAGAGGCCTCCTGAGTGCTAGCTTAAAGGTTTGCACGGCCACGCCCTGCTCTTCTCATTAGTCCTTTTGTTTGTTTTGAGATGGTGTTTCTCTTTGTTACTGAAGTAGGCCTGGAACTCTTGAACACAAGTAATCCTCCTGCCTCGGTCTCCTATGTGCTGTGTCTGCCACTGTGCTCAGCTCTGTGTCGCTAGTTTCGGGGGTCTGTTTGCTTGTTTTATGTGTGTTAGTGTTTTTCTTGCATGTATGTCTGTGCCTAGTATCCCCAGGGGCATCGGGAGTTGCAGACAGTTGAGCTGCCGTGTGGGCACTGGCGATTGAACTCTGGTCTCAGTCACTGAGCCATCACTCTAGCCCATCTGGGGCTTTCTTAACCACCTGACGCGTGGCCCGTCTGGGTGGAGACCTCCCTGCGGGCCTCCCCTGTCACCACATGCTGAGGGTGGACTTCTCACGGCTGTGCTCTCCTGACCTTGGGGCTCGTGTGTACATGTGGTTGGGGCTTTTCCGCCACCTGTGGACACAGCACTACCTGCCACCCTTTCTGCTGGCCACCAGCTCTGAAGAGGGCTTGGGCTCTTCCGCAGTTTCTAGCCCAGTGTGCTTTGGTTTCCGGGCTGTTCTGTAGCTCACTTGTCAAAGACCTGCTCTCCTGCCTCCCTGCCTCCCTGCCCCCCCACCATGAGTCGCTAGTGTGGCTGCCACCGCCTGGGCCCTGACCGATGTCCAGAGACAGGGAAGCTCTTTGACTGACTTCTGTCTGGTGCAGGTGAACAAGCATGCGTTTTCTGGTGGAAGAGACACGGTGGAGGAGCACAGGCAGTTTGGGGGCAACTGTGAAGTGGATGTGTCCTTCATGTACCTGACCTTCTTCCTGGAAGACGACGACAGGCTGGAGCAGATCAGACAGGTGAGCAACCCCGCCCTGCCACCCATCCACATGAGCCCCACAGCCCAGCCAGGCCCTGTGTATTGCTAGAGCACCCTCAGTGACTCGGTCCATACAAGTAACGTCATGCTTATTTAGACCTAGCTCAGGAGGCTGAAGCAGGAAGATTACACATCCCAGGCCAGCCTGGGCTGCACAGCAAGATGCTGAACTTAAAAAGTAGAACAGGTGTTCACTTCAGCAGCGTGTATACCAAAACTGAACAATACAGAGATTAGCATGGCCCCTGCTGAAGCATCCCATGTGTAAAACAAAAACTGGGTAAGATCACTCAGGGCTCTAACCCTTGGGAGCTCACAAAGGTGAGAGAGAGCATAGAGAGATCTCTCTCTTGCCAGGGGAGGAACGTAGTTGTCCCTGGCCCTAGGACAGCCTCTCAGTGAGCTGATGGGGACAGGCAGTGTCCCTGGCCTTGGAGTCTTTTCCAGAGAAATCCTGTGGAATAGAAAACAGCTTTTCATACAGAAACAGTAGCAGAAAAAAGGTACAGGCGTGGTCTGTCCAGCCGGGTGGCCAGGTGAGGATTGTTGCAGATGCCCAGCCTGATGTGTTAATTAATGTCTTTGATTGTTACTGTTTAAGACAGAGTTTCACTGTGTAGCCTGGAACTCCCTATAGAGACCAGGCTTACATCAGACTCATGACAGTCCTCCTGCCTCGGCCGCCTGAGTGCTGGGGTTATAGGAATAAGGATTGAGAGGGTGTCGGTGCCACCAGAGCCAGTGGCAGGGGTAGGGAAAGAAAGGCTGTGAGGAGAGAGAGTGCTTTACATTCACAGGAAGAACTCTCAGAGGAAATACGCCGCTCACTGTTGGTGGTTAGCACCTGTGGTGTGGAGTGGAAGGCGATTTTCCCCAGCCTTCTGCCACCTCCGCTTGGAGAGTGGCACCATCGGGAAGGAAAGTGCCAGGGTGCGTAGAAAGCGCCAGGGTGCGTAGAAGCCATAGGGCTGGGAGCGGCATCCAGCTCTCCTTTCTCTGTTGGTGACACAGTGGATTGTGATTGTGGTTTCCCATAATCTGCTGCTCCCAATTCTTCCCCACTTCCTGCAGTTTGTATCCACCCCTTTCTGTGTCTCCTTAGAGAACAGACTCCTACAGGTTAATAATGAAGTGTAATATAGTTCATAAAAGGACATAAGCAGAATTAGAGCTCAGGTAGGGGTGGCTGGGACACCCAGAGCCATTGCTCACCGCATCCAACTTCCTGGCAGGATTACACCAGCGGAGCCATGCTCACTGGGGAGCTCAAGAAGACACTCATCGATGTCCTTCAGCCCCTGATCGCCGAGCACCAGGCCCGACGCAAGGCCGTCACCGAAGAAACGGTGAAGGAGTTCATGACTCCGCGGCAGCTGTCTTTCCACTTTCAGTAATGCTTTTCTGTGTGCACAGACCCCGCCCATCAGTAATCCTGTCAATCACTAGCCCCATCAGTAATCCCTATCAATGACCCCAGCCCACCAATCACGCCACACTCCCCTAGGCTTCTTCACTCGTTAATTCCTGGACCTGGGTCTCTACGCCCTTGTGCATTCTGGATGCTGTTTCTTCTGTGATGTCTGTCCGCCTGGAGTCTGCTGATGATCAGGTGCTGCTAATGTTGTGTGGTCACATAGAAACCCAGCCGAGAGTCTCCCACAAAGAGCCCACAGAGGACTGTCCGTCCAGCAGCCTAGGGTTCCAGAAAAAATTCCCAGAATCTCTTAGTTTTTTTTTGTTTTTTTTTTAAGTGTGTATGCTACACACGGTAGTACACACCTTATAATCTCTGTATTCAGTAGGCAAAGGCACAAGTTCTGTGCCAGCCTGGGCTACCCAGCAAGAGCCCGACATAATTTGTGTTTCATTCCAAGTCTATGGAGTCAGAATGTCATTATTGTAAAACTAAAAACTGCTGTGAAAAACTGATGACGAGACATTAGTGGGCAAAGATGCTGTGCTTGAGCCCATACCAACTCTATATATACATATGTATACATATATGTTTACACGTAATATATATATAAACTTTGCTTTATAGTCACTAGGGAGTACTCAGCTTCGTCCTGTAGGTGTAGCTCAGTAGTAGAGGACTTGCCTAGAGTGCATGATGCCGTGGGTTCAGTCTTTAACACCACAAGGTGGTGGGGAGGTTGTCATTCAGCTCTAAAAGCTGCCTTTAACACTGACTATGGACCCCAGGCTGGACCATGTCTATTAGCCTGAGTCTTGTGGCTGAAACTTGAGGCTGAGGTTACTAAACTCCAGATCACACGTGTTGTCCACTCCAGAATCATGCTTGTTGCCCTTACTGTACTAACTTTTCCACAAATGGCCCAGTGATGGCTTCTCCTGACGTCACACCCTAAGGACAGTCTGTTGCCTTTGCAGATGCTTTTGTTTTGACACTTGACTGAAGTGGAGGGCAGCACAGAGCAGTGCGCTGGCCGCTCCAGGCCGGTGGACCATAGCTAGACAGGAAAGAACATCAGCTGCCCAGGCCTTGGCGTTCTCCCTCTGAGCCGACCATGTGTAATGAGCCACCACTCAGAGTCTTGTCAAAGCAGAAGCCGTATCTCAGGGAAAGCCCCTGGGTGAGGTGTCTGCCCTCCCTGAAGGCACAAAGGCCGCTCTCGAGTGTGTCCTTGCATCACTTTCAGGCAAAAATAAACTTTGTTGTGCCCCTGCCTTCGTTGCTGTCTGTCCAAGCAGGCTGCGGAGCTACCTGCGCGTACGGCCCCTAAGCCACACTACACCGTGCTGGGGCGGTAGCCGTTCCCCTTGTCAGAGGAGAGAGGGACAGGCCGTGCAGAGCTGTGAAATCCCATGGTGCTTAGAAGCAGGCTCCCAGGGACTGCTGGCTGTGTCGGCAGCTTGTCCTGAGAAGCCACCCTCTCCCTGCGACTACTTTCCCCGCCTTGTTTGATGTTCCAGCAGCCTGAAGAGAGCATGTGCTTGTGATGTCTGTCCTGTCTGCCAAGACCTGGGTGCTCAGGGGATGCTGAGTGATGAGCGCAGGCAGAAATGGGGCCACTGGGCGTCCAGGGCAGACCCAGTCACAATGGAGCCGCACTTCACCTTACCTGCCTGCCCTCGTTTGCGAGTCGGGAAAAGGGACTTGGAGGGAAATATGACTCATCTAAGGCCACATAGTGAATCTGTTACTGAGCAGTCTGTTCTGACTTATCATGGAGAATACTAAGGTCATACATTACCCTGGGAGGTCAAGTGCCTGAACTCAGAGCCCAAGAGAGTGCCAGAGTATGGATGGCACAAAGTTCATGCAGGCTCTTCTCAGGGCCCATCCCACTGGACAGGCCAACACCTCACCTGGCTGCCGTGGCCAGGGTGGTAAGACGGATGCCGAACACTGCCTTGCTCTCACTGTGACCCGGAATGGCTGGCGTCACTTGTACCCAACGAACGTACAGGTGTGCTGATGAAGGGGAGATGTTGCTGTCATTGTCTACCCAGCCAGAGCACCTGAAGGCTTAGCCCCCTTCTGCCATCAGCCACAACTTTGGGGGAGTCGCCTGACTTGTAGGGAGCTCCGTCTCCTTCATGTAAGACAACACGGGTGATAGGAAACCCTGCTGTTAGTCAGGGTAAGGGCCTTCAACGCCACTGCTACACTGGCTGGAAACCAGAAGATTCTTGAAGGTCCCTGAGAGACCTTCAAGCAGGGCTTTTAATGGGGGCGCCTGGGGATGCGTCCAATGCCAAATGGTCCAGAGACTTCCCAGGAAGAACAGCCTTCACTCGGAGTGGTACCCACATCATGCAGAAGCAAGTGACAGCTCCCTTGTAGAGCAGTGTGTCCAGGAGTAAACAGGCCTCGGGCAAACTCCTGAGGTATGCTATCAGCCCTTCTCCAGGCCCATAGGTCTGTCTACAGCCCGACATACTTTGGGAGCCCTCAAGGGGTAGCTCTTAACTCGCACTGGAGCACTCTACTACAGCCCTGTGGGGAGAGCGACTCTTCCCGGTGTGTTACTCGAGCAGCCAGCCAGCCCCTCCCCTCTGATTCTCCTGACAGCAGTAGGGAGGCCAGGGGCTGACTCCTCTAGTAAACTGCACTTGGGAGGCTGACACAGGAAGACAGTGAGAATTTGAGGCAAGCCAGGGATGTGTACTGAGTTCCAAGCCCTTCCTGCTAAGTCACTTCCCCCACCAATGGCCCTGGAGACGTGGGCTGGGCCAGCAGAATGGCAATTGGGGTCAGCAGAACCCAGAGCATCTGCCACGACCCTTGTGAACAGGGAACATCAAAGCCAAGAGTGTGCTGTCTGAGCTCACCTCCCACAAGGTAATGAGTGACATGGTGGCACACACCTTTAATCCCAACACTCAGGAGGCAGAGGCAGTCCGATCTCTGTGAGTTCGAGGCCAGCCTAATCTACAAAGCAAGTGCCAGGACAGACTCCAGAGCTATACAGAGAAACCCTGTCTTGAAAACCAAACAACAACCCCCGACCACCAAAAAAAAAAAAAATGAGTGGGCACCAGTGGCTCCTGACAGTTTGTAAATTATTAGGCCCTTTGTATTAGCTGTCCTTTTCCAGGCACTGGCCCAGAGTGTCCCAGCATCTTGACCTGTCTGAACCAGGTAAACTTTCAAGTTCAGGCACTGAAACTAAAAGGACTTCAGGGTTGCAATTCAAGAGACGCGGCACAGGGCTTGTAGCATTCGAGGAAAGTGAGCGCGCACACCAGCAGCTCCTAAATCACCACAAAGTAACTACGGTTGTTTTAAGAGGAACCTTACTGAAACCGGAAGAGCACCCAAAGGCTGGAGGACTGCACGAGCCAGATGAGTGACGGAACACTCCTAGATGCCTGCCGAGGGTGTCTGGGCCAGCTCTCCCTCCAGGCTGCAGCTGGAGACCGCTGAAACCCTGTGCCTGTAGAAGCAAGCCTTCCAACCCCACAGAAAGCTCTCTGGCTTTCTACATAACCACAGCCTTACTGCAGAGCTTCTGGTTCCCCTGTTGACCAGACGCCAAGAGGTCCTGGGCAGCTCCCAGTTTTGAGATGGAACAGATAAGCAACCAGCCAGCTGCCCAGGCTCCATGACCTGGTAGGGAGACCAGAAGACCTTCCTGGAGGAGGGGAGGCCTAAGAGATGGCATCAGGCAGGGGGAGGCCTTGCAGGCAAGGGCTCTGGACATAAGGTCTGCTGCCAAAGGACCTGCATGACAGCAGCAGACCCAGAAAGATACCCTACCCCTCCTAGAAATTGGAATGCCTTACTGAACAAAGAAAATGAGACCATTAGATGTATGCACGGCCAGGTTTTGCATCTGAGCACGCGTAGCTGAGCTGGGTATCAGCCAGCTTTACCACAGGGCTTTTCTGTCAAAGCCCAGTGGGCTGACGCCATACAGCCAGCTTGACTCCCAGTGGCCCATCACTGGCAGCCACAGGGTCCCTGAAGAGGGAGGTTAGGCTTCAGAAGCACAGGCAAATCCCACTGCGTGCCTGAGGGCAGACACTTTCCTACCCTGCCCTCCAAGCCAGTGGCTCATAAAACCTTAGAATGGTTACCTCACCCTTTTCCACCCTTGGTGCAGAGCTCCAGCCAGGCGTCTGGCCCAATAATGACACAGATCACAGGCTACACATCCCAGAAAGTAAAAAGACGGTGCAGGGTTTCACAGCGACCCTCCACATAACGGGCATCTGGCTATGCAAGTAAGAAGTCTAGTCCATCTTATTCTCCAGGGCCAGGACTACACACACACCGCTTCTCTCACCATGACGCACAGTGAAACACACCGGATGAACACCAACTAGGAAGAGCAGTACCACACAGATCACACAGCAGCACCGCTGAGCAAGCTCAGAAACATTTATTGACAACCACTCATGACCCAGGCTCTAGGGTCTTCATGTGGCAAGCAGTGTGAGTGTGGATACCAGTGAGCTCCCACACCAGCTCCTCAGCCAGTGATGACAACCAAGGACAGGGAACAAGCCCCACGTGTACCAGATGGCTCTGCTTGCTGTCTGATCCCTCGCTTGTCTGTTCAGGGGACAATGTGAATCCGCAGAAGTTGACGAGGCCAAGTGCTCGGTAGGGGTGGTAAGGGTATGCTCTGAAGTCATGAGTATGGACAAGGAGTACACTCAGGAATGAACACTTGCTCAGTGACAAACGGCTCCAAGTGACACGTGTCCTCATCAAGGAAACTCACACAACCTTGACTCGTGACCCCCCCTGGCTTTATGGTCAGCAGCGGGGCAGGCCTCACCTAGTCACTGCACAGAAGGCCCTCTGCTGTGCCAGTGACAGCCCTGTGGGGTCCTAGCCCACCCACGCTCCCCGTCACCTCCAGCTGCTGTGACCTGGCTGATGCTGACTGGGGGCCCGCCCCTATGTGCACCATCGCTGAGTGAGCCTCAGCACAGCCTCATAGGCCACGAAGACCACCATGTTGACCGGAAAGGCACGGCAGCAGTTGAGCGTCAGCCCCTTGAAGAGCACCCTGGGGCCCTCCTCCCGCACACTGGCCACCACACAATGCAGGAGGCCCCGGTAGCGCTGCCGGCCCTGCCCATCTGCCTGCAAGCGTGACTTGATCACATCCATGGGGGTGGCCACGGCCCAGGCCAGGACTCCAGCACAGCCTCCAGCCACCAGCACACCTAGGACATCTGCAAGAAAGACAGTGGCCATACTGTCTCAGAGCAAGCTTCTCAGAGACAGGACCCGACCCAGGACAGCTCACTGAGTCAAGATAGACCTCTCTATCACAGTCACTGTGTTGCTTCGGACACACACACACACACACACACACACACACACACACACACACACACCCTCAGAAACCCTATCACAGTCACTGTGTGGCCTCGGACACGGACACACACACACACACACACACACACACACACACACCCTCAGAAACCCTACTTGAAAAATAAGGCAGACATACAAAAATGCTTAGCTTGATTCAGTGTTGTGAGCTGCGCTGTGCACAGATTCCTCTCCCTGCCCCCATCCCGCTTGGCCAACCCCATCGGCCTGTCACTCACCTGGTTGGCTATGGCCGGCAGGGGTGAGCCACTCACAGAGCATGGCATAGGAGAGAAAGTAAGTGGCGAAGGAATGGCCTTCACGAAGGAGCAGAGCTGAGCTGCCCTTGTAGAGTCCCCGCAGTCCCTCTTCACGGGCCACTGTGACTAAACAGTGCAGCGGCCCACGATACTTAGGCCTGGGCTCCAGCCATGCAGTGGGCGCAGCACACAGGGCAGGAGCCCCTGACGTCCAGGCGGCTGAGGGCCGCCGCTGCGGGGTCTGAGCTTGGGCCTGTGTCTGCAGCCGGACCTTGGCCACCTCAGTGGGTGACGTCAGGAACACCTGGGACAGAGAACAAGCAAGGTTAGGACATGCCTACAGCCTGTCCACTCACTCAAAGACCCAGCCTTCCCATTGGGTTTTGATGGTTCTGGGTTGAAAGCCAGCTCAGCCGAATTAAGGCCGAAGCCAAGGTCTTCATCTCTCCTATCTGGGAACACTAGCTTGACACATACCAGGTGCTAAGTAAACGTGACTAAGTTCAAGAGCATAATGGACACAGTAGTTTGCACTATAGTCATATTGCTAAAGGCAGAGCATGGTGGTCACTGTGGGACCTAGCTAGATGCCCTGGGGTCCTTACGCCCTCAGTCTCCCTAAATTCTCATCACACCTCTTGCAGATGAGATGGCAGCCCAGAAAGGCTCAAGAGTCAAGCCTGGTTTGCTAGGCTTATCGGCCTTTTATCTCTGCACCGTGTGTAGTGGCTATAACACTTAGCCCCTCAGCCGGTGGAGGCCCCGATTAAGGACCAAGTAACTTTTCCATGCTCCATCACGGCCTATGAAGGACCTCAGCTGCCCTGTTCCCATCTGTGGTGCCCGATGCTCCAGCTTCACTGAGGATGAGGGATGCTAGTATCCATGCTCACACTAGATGGTGTTCAGGCATTTACGGGAAACCCTGAAGATGGAGACCTGCCAGCTGGGAGGTCACAAACACCTGAATGCTATCTCTTTATGGTCATCCCCTCCTCTCCACTGCAGCATTCTAGGAGGGTTACCAAAAGGAGCCCAGCCCATCCCAGGCAGGAGACTTCATCCCTCACCACAGTCCCCATGCCCTGTAGGCTCTACCTTCACAGAGCCTCGGTCTTGACACCCGCCGGGAGGTACGATTCAAACTCCCTGAGCATCTCTGATGCCCTTCTACCCTCAACTGCCTCTACTCACCCGGACAAGGCCAGAGGCACATCCTGAGAGCGTGATATCAGCCTTGGTGGGCTTGGCGTCAGTGCTGCCGTACCGGAATCGGCAAAGGTGAGCCAGGCAGTGGTGGTAGGTGCCGAAAGATACCGATGACACCAGGGACACCGTGCACACAGGCAGGGAGAGGCCCCGGTAGAAACCCCACACCTGGTGGACAGGGACCAAGTCAGGACAAGACCCAAGAGAGAACCCCCTGGCGCTGGGATATTTGGGACTGGTCACCATCTATCTCCCTCGCCACCAATGCCTCCAGAGGGTCGCCCCTGGGACCTTAGCACTTGCCCTGATGTTTAAGGGTTGCAGAGAGAGCTGACTGGCCATGATGGTGGAACCAACTTGATGCTCACTTGATCTTGCCTGCACCAAGTCATTTGCGTAAGTTTAAGCGTAAGCGTCCCCAAGACCTTCCCCTGGAATCCCAGGTCCCCCTGGGTCCCTTCCCCTGGAGAAGGGGACTTGGTTTTGTACCATATAGAGTCCGCAGTGCTCAGATTTTGGAGCTCAGGAGAGCCTGGGGCTGGGCACCCGTTTGGAAGGCCAGAGGCTAGCACTCAAGGGAAAGGGCATCACTAGCAAGTCCCAGCCCCTGATGCCACCCACCCCAGTCCTACCCGCTCTTGACGATACGTGTCCCGGATGCAGTGCCAAATGCTTGTGTACTTGGCCTCAGTCTGGATCCTGACCTACGGGAAAGGGAGAAGGGTTCAGAAAGGGTTGGTCCTAAGCCTGGGGCAAAGCCAGTAGAGGCCTAGGCTCCGCCCTTGACCATCAGGCATGCTGCTTTAGAGTGAGTAGGGACAGCGAACCGCTTTTGGAAGGAGACCCCCTGAGGCACAGAATGAGAGAGACTGATAGTCCCAAGGGCCATAGGGAACCATTGAAGGTATTAGAGTAGGAAAGGACTGGGTCCCATTAGCATTCTAATTGAGGACCAGAGCCAGGTACAGGGGCCACTGAGTGTAACCTAAACCAAAGCAGGGCCTTGCTGTACCTTCACTGTATCCAGAGGGTAGCCCACAGCAACTCCGCAGACTCCTGCAAGGCAATCAGAGCAACCAGTGAGGCAGAAGGAGGTGGCCGCGTGGGCAGTGAGAGCCCGCCCATCCCAAGGGATGATGGGAAAGGTGGCCTTGAGCAAGCTCACTCCCCTCACTGCCACTGGCCCTGCCTGGGCTCCACCTATCTGCAGCCTTCGTTTTGCAGGTGAGAAACTGAGGATCAGGATGCACCTGCCAAACTTGCTAGCTATCTCCCAACCCCTTTCCTGGCCCACCAGTACCCATCCCCATTGCCCAGGCCAAGAACATCCCTCAGCCTCCCCTCTGACGGCACATTTTGGGAGAACGTCTGGTTCTGTACTAGCTGACCCTGTCCCTGAGCCAGGCAAACTTTGCCCTCAAGCTTCAGCCTGTGCACGGTTTGTGTGGGAGCCAGGTGGACACCCACACTTTGCAGGAATCGGGGAGGGGCACATTCTGAGTAAAGGCTAAGGGAACAGTCCAGACCCCCCAACCAGGTCGATGAAGGGCCAGGATTGCAAGGAACCACAGTTACACACAGGACAGGGTGTGCACTGCTACTGTGATCTGGTCTGGACAGAGAGACTCCCCCAGAGACCCACGTGTGGGATTGGCAGATCCCTCAGAATATCCTTAAGTCACTGGGGTCACATTTTGGAGGGGACTATGAAATCGCAATCCCTTGCCTTTTGACTTCCTGGCCCAGAGAACTGCCCTGCCATTGTCCTCTAACACCCACACAGCCGACCAAGCACTGGGGCCACCTGGTGGTCACAGCCTCGGAACTGCCCACTAAGTAGCCATTCTCTGCATGAGTAGGTTAACTGAAGCCAGTGGACAGGGCTGCTCACACACACACTCACACACACACACACACACACACACACACACAGAGGGGCTCATAGTGCTCACCCAGGCATTGAACCAGGGGAGCCACACTGCCCCCCTAGCCCTACCACTCCAGCTCCAGGGCCTCCACATCTAAAGCCAACACAGCCTTGAAGAAGCTGAAGAGCCAACCAGGGCCTTGGGCTTTCTACCCTGGAGCAAGGATGCTAAGGACACCATGGAGGATGACAAGGCCCGTGGGTTGTGTCCCGAGATGCCTTCAAGTAGAAGAATGAAGGTCTGAGTGGGGGACCGGAGGGTATGAAGCAAGTGCCCGACGAAGACTTGGATAGAATAGCTCTCTCTAGGTCTCTTAAACACCTCACCAAATCCTGTGTATCCCTCAAAGCCCTCACCAAATCCTATTTATCCCTCAAAGGCCTCCTCTCTTATGCTTTCCTACTGTGTTCTTGGTTGCCTCTGCCTGGAAACATTGATTAGAACCTGTGTCAAATGGCCTTGCTGCTAATCCCCACATGCCATGGCCAACTCTGCATCTTGAGTTCTTTAAGGAAAGGCTTGGGTCTGAGTCCCTGGGACCCGGTACAGCAAGGACCCCACCTCAAGGGCCTTTCCTGTGGCTGTGAGGGTGTGGCCTCCTGTGCTGCTACCATTCTGAGGAGCAGCAAGCAAATGTTGGTATGGTCCAGATCAGGGCCCCCCAGAGCCCCAGGCAGGGCCAAGACTCAGTCCTCCCAACGCTAGTGCTCTCTTTCCTTTCCGGTCCCCAGGCTGTTCCCAGCAAGGACAAAGCCACCCACAGTTATTTCACAAGCGCTGCAGGGCCAAGGGTGCCTCGCCTAAAATAGCTACATAGTCCGAGGATCGATGGCCCATGGAGTCCCTGTGGGCAGCCACCATCCCCTCTGTCACCTCTCCCCAGGAGAGACACGGTTTGAGCCATAGGGGGCGAGATGTTAGTAGGACCAGCCTGCTCTGTGTTCTAGTTCCCGCTCCCTGAATAGAACCCTTGGGTGCACTGTTCTTCCCTGAAACCTTCTGTCTGGCCCCCTAGAACTCATTCACCCACACTAGAAACCCCAGCCATCTCCTAACCCCACTGGGACAAATTTCTGTTCCCAAGCCAGGAATCCTAGCCATATCTGCATCCTGCCTTAACTACAAGGCCATGTGTGGGAACTTGCCTCCCCTTCAGCATCCGTAGCCCACAACAGGGGTCTGCTCCCTTCCCAACTGCCTAGGGTTCTCTCCCCGTTACCAAACACACAAAAACACCATCCCCAGTTCCCCACAACTCCTGCACCCCTCTCTTCCTATCCCATACCTCCAATGGCCCCAGCAACAAAATCCATGGACAGCGTAGGAAATGGGAAGGGCTCCGGTCTCTGCCTGTGCCACACTGGCCAGCTCCTACCGATTCTGCAGCTTTAATATAGCTGTGAGCAGAGGCGGAGACAGGGCTGCAAACAAGCTATTTTGATGCCCACACTCACACACCCCACAAGGATCCCAGTGTCAATGACCCCAGCGTCAGGAAAGCATGTGAGAGGTCATGGGAGACGGCCAACCCCAGATATAAGTCTGCCTCCATTTCCTTCCGGGTTCAGACTGCCTGGCGTCTGACTGTTCACACTGACTGCATAAACAGTGGCCCCTCGTATGTGTCCCCACTTTATAGTTGACTTCCAGTCCTGAAAGGGAAGGGGAGCAAGGGCCTGTCCTAATCATGGAGCCACCAAGACCCCAAAGGGGACTTGCTTAAGGCAGCCACTATCTTACAGTCACCCTCTCTGTAGCCAGCCCTTGAAGGGAATGCAAGCTTGTCTCTATGGCCACCATGCTGGTTCCCTTTAGAGGCCCAGTGACCCAGGCTGCGGCCCTACAAAGTGACCTGGGGGCCACCCTCAGGGCCAGAGTCGTGCAGAATGGAGGAAAGGGGATGCTAACATGGGGCGCCCAGCAGTTGTGTCTGGATGACCCTAGGGTGGCTCAGCAGGAGGCCACGTGTCCACCTGTTTTCCTGTTATCTGTACACTGGCCTTGAACAGGCAAGTTTCAAACTAGAGATGACCCCTCACCCCGACAGGTAGTCTACTTTTGTGTGAGTCGGCAGTGCGAGCTGTCACAGCAGAGGGCAGAGGGCAGATAGAGGGACACCGGGAGTAGCCTATCCAAGGCCAGCCTTGTTGTCCATCCCGTAGAGCGGTGTGTATCACCATCTGATTAGAAGTTGACCTGCCTGCATTCAAATCCCAGCTCTGCCGCTTGCCTTTGAGACAAGGTCTTGAGCTCCAGCAGTATTCCTGCAGGATTGCCAGCCAAACCCATTCATAGACGCAGAGAGAGGGAGGCGATGGGTCTGCATCAGCTGGGCCAGATGCTACCCTCAAGAGGCTAGGTCAGTGAGGGAGCCTAAAACACACACCTCCCACCTAGGAGGACAAGGTCCCTTCAGTCCCACATTGCCAGTGGAGTAGGGCCATCCACCCAGACACTGGAGTGTCCCCCCAAGGCCCCACAGGTCTTTCTCCGGTCCATATCCAGTCTTGGTGTCCCTCCCTTACTACCACAGGCAGGACAGTTTGCCACTGTCTGCCTGCTCTGTCCTGACTGTCATTACTCCTGGACAGCAGCCCACCTGTCCAGGCTCCTGATGCATGCCACCAACACATGCCAGGTGTCAAACAGTGAGTCACCTTGATAAACACAACAACCTAGTCCCCGCCCTAGAGACCTGATGAGCTGGCAGTGACACAGTCCTAAAGGGACAGGAAGAACCCAGAGGTGATCGGAAGGGCTGGTGTGGTCAGTAGTGCATGACTGTCACTAGGAAGCAGAGCGGCCGTGACAGCCCACCGGACACTCTCCAGAGCGTGGGTCTGGTAATGTCCCTCGTGATGCGCCAGGCTCCTGGGCCTCTTGAGGCCTCTCTCCACCCCAAGATTACTTTAAAAAGAGCTCTGCGCACAGTGTCAGAAACACGAATGGCACAATTCCTCAACACACAAGTCCCTTTCACTGACTGTGACTTGCCAGGTAGCCCAGATTTTACGTAATGGCGTGGCCATTGGCAGTCAGATTATTTTATTACAATCTTAATTATTAATATTAGTTCTCAGATCACACATGACACAGTAATACACACACACAAACACACACACACACACACTGATTAAAAATGGGCTCACCAGGCAGTGGTGGCATATGCCTTTAATTTGAGCACTCTGGAGACAGAGGCAGATGGATCTCTGTGAGTTTGAGGCCAGCCTCATCTACGGAGCGAGTTCCAGGACAACCAGAGCTGCACAGAGAAACCATTAAAAAAGCAAAAGTGCTAAGGAAGAGTTATAAAGAGGCATCAGGGTAACTTTCCCGAATCAGCGGCAGAGAGCTGTTAAGTACAGAGGTGTCTGGCGCAAGCCACTGAGGACTTGGCTTGAATGGGCTGTGTCACAGGCAAAGATCACTGCACTTGAGCTGAAGGGGAGGAGCTTCGTTTGTTTAATGATAAATTCATGAGTCTCGTGTTCCTCGGGTGATTTGGCATGTTCACAAGTGTGGTTACGAATGAATTCTCTGCTTGTGCCGCCTGGTGCGCCAGCAGGTGGTGTTTACCTGTGGAAACACCATGCGAAGATCATTCTTTCTTGGCACTTACCCAACATGGAGTGTAGTGGCTTGAATGAGAACGGCCCTCAGTGCCCATAGGGAGTGGTACCATTTAAAGGGAGGGAGTGTGTCACTGGGGCTGGGCTCTGAGGTGTCAAAAGCTCACACCAAGCCTGGAGTCTCTCCCTCTCCCTCTTCCTCTTCTTCCCTTCCTCCATGTCTCTCTCTCTCTCTCTGGGTTAGGGTTAAGGTTACACACACACACACACACAGACATACATACACACACACACACCAATAAATAAAGGCGATTTAAAAAAATATTTATTTTTATTTATTTATTTAATGGGCACTGGTGTCAGATACCCTGGAACTGGAGCTACAGGTGTTATCTGCCGTGTGGTACTGGAAATTGAACCCAGGTCCTCTGGAAGAGCAGCTGGTGCTCTTAACCCCTGAGCCATCCCTCTGGCCCCAAATGTAATTTTTCTTAAAGAGGCAGATAATACAGATTGAGACTTCCCAGCAGCATAAAAACCTTTTGAGTCTCTCATAAATAACCCTAGTAAACTCACTGCTTCCCCGATCTGGACGTGGGTAGATTCTCCTTTGCTCTGCTGGCCCTGTCTCCATCTGGAGTGAAGAGGCATTTCTTTACACTTCTCAGGAGAGCCACATGACATCCAGGGAGTGAGGAGAAGAGAAGGTAGGGGGAGCTGAGGGGAGGGAATATGAATTGGGCAGGTAACACTGGGACAGTCATGCTCTCGGTCACCATAGCCTGATGGCTCCTGCCCTTTGTCTTCTGAACAAACATGCCCAACTCACCAAAACTACAACTATCTGCCAGAGTGTATGCCTGCCTTGTACCGGTTCCTTATTGGCTGTAAACTTCTCATAGACATCGATGGGCTACACTGGCCCTTCCTCCACACCCAAACTATACAGTTCAGGGTGGGCTGCTCTTCGGGTGCTTAAGTGAAGGTATATGAGAACAGATGAGTGAGCAGATTGAGGGGCAGATGGATGGGCTGGATTAATAGAGAGGCAGGGAGAAGACAGTGGATGGATGATGGATGGGTGGGTGGGTGGATGGATGGATGGGTGGGTGGATGGGTGGATGGTTAGATGATGGATGATGGGTAGATGGGTGGATGATGGATGGATGGGTGGATGGATGGATGGGAGATAGACACAGTCCATGTGTCTGTTTCTCCTTGTGTCTGTACTTTACCAATGACATACCTGCTATGACAGTGACCAGCCTGGGCTCAGGACACAGGGTCCTCTCTGCCAGCTGCCTCTTCCTCTTCCTGCCATCTATGATACCAACGCCAGCTAGTTCTACCACACCTCAAATCAGGGCTGTGCAGCGAGCACTGCCCTCCGAGGCCTGTTGATGCTCACTGTGGGCTGGGAACAGTCTGCTCCGGGCATCATCAGGCTGCCAGTGTGCCAGTGGGAGCCCAGAGGGCATGCACACTAAACTGCATGTGGCCAGACACCCATCAGGGACCCCCATGACCTTCCCGTTCTGGGGCACCTCCAGCAGCAGGGCCCCTGAAGCCTATTCGTATGTATCAAGTCATTGACATGTAGCTATTTATACCAAGTCCCATCTTGAGTTTCTGGTGTCGGCTGACTCCTGAAGGCCAAGTGGGTTCTGAAATAGGCTAATGTAGCCTCTGGTCAACCAAGAGGTGACCCAGGGGAACTTCTGGAAATGCAGGACTCCCACACACATACATCCAGGGCTGGGAAGCACAGTTATTCAATTAATCCCCATCCTCTACTTCCTGGAACTAGAGGACCGTGAGTAGCAGGGACAACAGCAGAGCGGGTACTGTCTGCTCCCTGGTTCCTTCCCCAGGCCTGAAACAAAGGCCCGCAAGGTCTCAGCCAGGACAGCCAAGCAAAACTAAGCAAAGCACCCTAGAATTCTGAGGCACTGTCCCTCAAACCCTTAAGATGTGCCGGGGAGGCTGGCTTGGGTGCACGCTGCCTCTCGTGCTCCGGGGCTGGGAATCTGTGCTCAACTTCTGTCTCGGAGGGCACGCCAGCCAGACGAACCAGCCCCAGCCTCCTCTGTGGCTGCCTGCCAGGCCGAGAGAGCCACTCCTGTTCTGGGTTGTTCCGTACCTCTGCAGCGCTGGTCCCTTCCAGCACTGCCCTGGCCCCTCCTGTCTAACTGAGAAGAGATCTGACTGTACAGCATAGGCTAGCTTTGAAATCATGGGTGACCCTCCTGCCTCAGCCTTCTGAGTGGAAGGCCGAGCTGGACTGTGTCTGTACTTTACCGACTAAGCCATATCCTCAAGCTCTTATTGGGCTTTTTTATTTCATATGCATCTTATTTGTTTTGTGTGGGGATGGAAGAGCATGCACACCACAGCACAGGTGTGAGGGCAGAGGGCAGGTGGTGGTAGCTGGTTCTCTCTTGCTACCATGTGTGTCTGTCCCAAGAACCAGACTCAGGTGTCGGGTACCTTTACCCACTACTCCATCCAGCTGGCCCCTCTTCAGGGTTTTGTTGTTATAGAGTGCTTCTCTTACTATGTAGCTACAAAGGCTGTTCTTGGTTGTCAACTTGACCACATCTGGAATTAACTAAGACCCCAAAATGGAGGGGCACATCTCTGAGGGCTCTGTGCTTATTTCAGCATGGGAAGACCTACTTCCTACGCAGATGGTTTGAGGCAGGGAAACCCACCTGTAATCTGGGCCTCATCTGCCGGCAGCCGATATAAGGGGCATGGAAGGAGGAAGCTTTTGCTCTTTGCCAGCTTGTGCTAGCAAACCCATTCCTTCACTGGCATTAAAGACTACTTCTTTGGAACCCCAGCATCTGCTGAAGAACAGCGGAGGCATCCAGCCGCGTGGAATGAGCAGATATTGGATTCCCAGACAGCCATTGTTAGATTAGCTGGACCACAGCCTATAAATCATAAACCATTCGAATAAATCTCCTTTCTTTTGTTTTTCTTTTTTTCTTTTTTTTTTTGGGGGGGGTCGTTTTGTTTTTTTGAAACAAGGTTTCTCTGTGTAACAGTCCTGGCTGTTCTGGAACTCACTTTGTAGACCAGGCTGGCCTCAAACTCACAGAGATCCCCTTGCTTCTGCCTCCCAAGTGCTGGGATTAAAGGTGTAAGCCACCACAGCCAGGCATAAATTATATACATACATACACACATACATACATACACACCACATATATATGTGTGTGTGTGTGTAAAGAGAGAGAGATTTGTTCTATAAGTTCTATTCACCTAGAGAACGCTAATACAGTAGCCCTGGCTAGCTTAGAATTCTCTATATATACCAGGTTGGACTTGAACTTCTAAGAGATCAGCCCACCACTACCTACTGAGTCTGGGATTAAAGATGTAAACTATCTAATCCAGCCTTACAGAATTAAATCAAATGTTATTATATATGTGCGTATGTATGAGCACACATGGCATGTGTGCGTGTGTGGGGGAAGGCATTGGATCCCCTGAAGCTGGAGTTACAGGTGGTCATGAGCCAAACATGGGTACTGGGATTCAGGACCTCTGAAAGAGAAGGTGAACCATCTCTCTACCTGTAGGGCATTTTTTTTCTTAATTTTAAAAAATACATTTCGAATAAATGGAACCACCTGTTGTCTTTCACAAGCCATGAGAAGGGAGACATGGTTAGCCAGTACGGCCCTACCAGTATGGCATCACCTCGGGGGTAGGATTTCTACCTAGGAACTGCTCTGAGAGGACATTCAGACCACAGCGGTGTGCCAGTCAGGCCCGTGAAGTGAGAACTGGGTAGAGCCCAAGTACTGGAACTATGCAAGGTTAGGAAAAAGGCTTCCCTGAAGGAGGCAGCCTTCACACAGGCCCTGAGGCAGGAACAAGCTTGGCATGTGAACCAGAGCTGAGCAGGAGACGGCTGGAAGACGAGTGGGTGCAGCCATGTCGTTATGGTCCTTGGCACTGAGCACAGATTTTACATCAAGCAAGGTAGGGGCTGACTGAGAGCCCCATTTGTCACTGCTACGGAGGTCCCAGGGTAGGGAGATCATAGGACATGGTGCTTCTTTTTGGCCACTATTGATTGGTTCTTTCTCTACACTGAGAAACTGTCTTATGTAAGAACTCAGGAAAGATGTCTTTCCGGTGGAGAAGTCTGGACATTCAGAAATGGCACCTCGAAAGGGGAAGGAAAAGAAGGAGGAACAGGTCATCAGCCTTGGGCCTCAAGTGGCTGAAGGAGAGAATGTATTTGGTGTCTGCCATATTTTTGCATCCTTCAATGACACCTTTGTCCATGTTACCGATCTTTCTGGCAAGGAAACCATCTGTCGGGTGACTGGTGGGATGAAGGTAAAGGCTGACGGAGATGAGTCTTCTCCATATGCAGCCATGTTGGCTGCCCAGGATGTCGCCCAGAGACGCAAGGAGCTGGGCATCACTGCCTTGCATAGCAAACTCCGAGCCACAGGAGGAAACAGGACCAAGACCCCTGGACCTGGAGCCCAGTCAGCCCTCAGAGCTCTTGCTCATTCAGGGATGAAGATTGGACGGATTGAGGATGTCACCCCCATCCCCTCTGACAGCACCCGAAGGAAGGGAGGTCGTCGTGGTCGCCGTCTGTGAACAGGGCTTCTCAAATTACTTTCTGTTAATAAATTGCTTTGTATAAGCTAAAAAAAAAAAAAAAAAAAAAAAAAAAAAGAACTCAGGAAAGACATTTCCAAACTAAACATGTCACTGTGGGCAGTGACAGCGCCTTCCCCACAATGCCTCTCTCCTACTTTTTGCCCTTTGGCTGGGATCCTTAGAGCTAAACAGACCCCAGGACCTGTGGGGCAGAGTTTGAAGAAGTAATACATTCCTGGTGTAATTTTATCCTTGTAAAATGCAAGAAAACAACACAACAGTACAGCCCCAAGACGTGGACATCCCGTGCTTTTTCTGGTCTCTTCCCAGCTAACTACCAAGGTCAAGTATTTGGACCCAGCCTGTCTTCTGACCCAGATCACCAAAAGCCTGAGCAAAGGCTCTCAGACAGCAAATGATCCTCTCCCACAGCAGTGTCTGTCCCCAAGATGCAGAGAAGTGAGCCTTGAGGGCACACTCAGCCCCACAGGACAGGCCCTGTCCCGCCTTGGGCAGCATGCAACCTCAGCTTAGTGTTCCATTCCCTCACACACTGTCCCTAAACCCAATAGTTCCAGACATAATACCAGCCCCCACAGCTGGCCCACCCATGCTCAGCCTACGATGTACCTAGATGACAGCACATAGGGTCCCACCAGATCCCTATAGGGACTGTCCCTGGGCCTCCTCTCCAATGGTTCTGAAGCTCAACTATAGAGTACCTGATGTGTACCAGGCCTGTGGGCCCTTCCCCAGCCCTCCTAGAGGGTCAGAGCTCCACACAAAGAAGGCCAGGAAGGACATCAGTGTAAAAGCAGGCTCTAACGTGTTCCTCCCTGTCCTTCTCTCTCTGGCTTTTTTATGTATGTTCTCTTAAAAACAGGATGGAGAGATGAGGCTCAGCAAGTTACACACCTGCCTGGCCAGCACGCATGAGACCCTGAGTTCCGCCTCCGGAGAAGAAAAGGAAACCAGATGTTATGGTGCACAGCTGTAGCCTCGGTGCTCAGGAGGCTGAGACAGGAAGGGGACAAGTTCTAGACCACCCTGGGCTACATATCAAGATCTCGTCTCAAAAGGAAAAAAAGCCACAAGCAGAATGGGCTGCTGTCTCATCTGTTGCCCTCTCACTTCTTAGAACCCAAAGCCACAGGTGGAGTAGAGATGTGAGCTTTACCACCTGGGCCACAGAGCATTAAGACTGTATCCCTCTATGAGGACTGATGGGTTTAATGGCACCGGCCTCAGGACGGTGTGTAACACACACACACACACACACACACACACACACACACACACGCGTACGTGTCCCGAAGGCATCCAGATGGCTCAGAGGCTGTGGGGATCAAGCCCAGGCCTCCAGACCCATAGTTCAGGGCCCAGTAGCCACCACAAGCACTGGACTAGGAGTCAGCAGGCCTGGACTTGGATGTCGGCTTCACAAATTGTCCATTCAGTTCTAAAGAGGTCCCTGCCCTCAGCTCCAGGCTTCACTGGAACTTTTAAAGACCCGTTCCTCCATCAAATCTGCCCTCCGGCAACTCCATCTCAGTTGAGAGAGGGTAGAGGTAAGAGCATTGTGAAGGTGACCATAGGAGGCTCTTACATGACTCTCAGCTCAGGACAAAGTCACAACTCACAGAGATCCCAGGAGTGGTGGTTGTGTCCATCACCGGGAAGACTCCTTGCCTTGGAAATATTAGAGGCAACCAGGTAAATGGACACCGCAGGTTCTTGCCCTTGGTGTTCTCCAAGTCAGGAACGCGTGCATGCTCCTTGCCCTCCAGCAAGCTCACCCTGTCCCAAGGCCCTGGGCTGCATAATGCTTGCCCCCGATCTAATCTGCTGGGGGCCCCCAGCCCTGTCCTGAAGCTTCCCTCTTTCCATAACCTTCAGTGGCTCCCAGGAACAAACTCCAGGGCTCAGCAGCACCCTTCCATCCACGGTCCCTTGTGTTTGAAAAGTTCGTCTAGGTGCCATCCAAATCCAAGTTTCTGACCCTGCTTGGACGCACTCGGACATCGGACTCCCAGCGCGTTCACCTAAGGAGACAGGAAGCCTAGGGGAGGCCCCTCCAGGTGGGGAACAGTTCTAGAACTCTCTTTACTAGCTGCGTCCAATCCCGCAGGCCTTGGAGAGTCGCGGAGTTCCACGGGAGTGCTCGCCACAGTGTCCCCGTGACACTGGCAAGGACGCTGAGTTTGAGCAGCAGAGTCGCATCCAAACACCGTGAGGGGCCCCAGGGTCGAAGCAGAGCGAGCGCCGCCCCTAGCACTAAGCAGTTGGGAGGTTCCGGGTCCAGTGCGCAATGTGTCCACTGCACTGCCCCTACCCTGTGCGGCGCGGGCGGGCCCGAGAAGCACAGTCTTTGTCTGCAGCGTCCCGTAGCGGCCCCTCCCGCCTAGTCCGAGGCCACACCCTCCCGGAGCGCCCAGCCAGTGAAATTTGGCGGCGGCAGACAGAGCGCGGGGGTGTTGTCCGCGCCTCGTGTACTCATTGGTTGCGCTCTGCACCCGCGGGGGCTGCAGCTGGTAGGGCGGGGTGCGCAGCGCGAGGTGAGGCCCGGCGTGCTGGACGCCAGGGGAGCGCTTTTCTTGGAGTCACTCAGCCGCCACCCGGAGCAAGCTTTGCGCCTGGCGGCCAGACAGCCGGAGCACCGAGGAGTAGTAGGACTCAGGCGGCTCGTGGGGCCGGGCCATGGCGCTCGACTTCCTGGCTGGATGCGCTGGAGGTAAGGGCACTCCAGGCATGCCAGGCACGCAGCCTGCCTGGTGCACGGGGACAGGTGTCTCCTGGACCCTTCCGTGGGCACTGGGTGTGAGGTCTGGGGATCCCGGTGGCACCGCGCCTTGGCCAGAAGAAGGGACAGAGGGGAGGATGCGGGCGCTCAGCCCTCTGATTCTTACCTCCCGGCAGCTGCAGCTGTCCGAGTGAGGCTGGTGACACCAGAGGGTTGGCCTGGTCCCAGGCGCCCAGTGCTTCCCATGTGGTGCTTTGAGCTACTAGAGGGCACAGAAGAGGAGGAAACGGTCTACTGGGTGGTCAGGACAACCTGACTCGGGAAAGCTTGGGGCAGAGAGCAGACCAGCTTTGCCCATGACCTGGCTGTGCAGACAGACCTGTTGAACCTTTAGTGTCTTTTCTTTTACCTAGAGGCAGTTTATTTAGTAAGTATTAAATACAGAACCCGTTTTAACCATTGAGATCCCAGGTAAATTGGCCGATATGGCAATGGTCTGGCTGGTTATGTCAAGGTCGAGTTCAGCTCCGAGGCCCAGGCCTGGCTCCTCACCCACTTGTCTCCCTCTGCTTGCCATCATAGCCCTACCCGGAAAGGTCTCACCTGAAACAGTGATTGACTGCTCTTGGCCTTAGGTGCTTAGTCCGTGCTTGCTTCTTCCTGGATGGAGAAGGCTGGTCTGGCAGGATGCCTTCCCAGGACAGTGATGTGCCCACAAAGGGCTTGAGAGTTGCCAGACTGTTCCCCAGGCTTTCCTCTGTAAGCTGTGGGAGGGGGACAAAGCCCAGGATTTCTGCAAGTTGGTGAGGAATTAGACACCCAGACGGGGTCCCATCTTCGCCCCATAGAAGGATGAAGGCACCTTCTATGACCAAGGTCCCCTTATTTTGCGGCAATCTCCCAGGGGCCAGGGTTCCCTCTGTGGTTGCAACCTGGTCAGTACAGTTGTCCTAGGGAACATCTATTCACCCCTTGGCCAGACCTGCTTAGAGACCCAGACCACCCCCATGATTCAGCCACCCCTTGGACTCTTGGCTCAACCAGTCTTTCCTACCCGGGACATCCCCACCCAGGGTGCACAGAGTGCCCAGCTACATGGAAGTCATGCAGGGTGGGTCTGAGATGGGACTCACTTGCAGAGCCTCTTCTGGGCTCATCCAGTAAGGAAAGAAATGGGAAGAGGTTGTAACCTCACATTCAGCCTCTCTGAAGTGATGGGGCTGCTGGGGGAGGGGCATGATCTGATTATGCCCTGGGTGTGCCTTGGGGTTCCCATCACTGCATGCTGTCAGGCATGCTCTGGATGTGGGGATCTGGCCTCCTAAAGTGCCTGCCTGCCTGCTTGGAAGGGTTGATGGTGAGGCCACTTCTCCAGAGGAAGAACGCACTGTGGGTGTGCCTGTGTGGCCCAATGCACGTCCTACCCCGCGCCTTTAGCCTCTGTGGGAGGCAGGGCAAATATCTTGACTAACGAATGGTTTCTGGTAGAAATTTATCTAGTAGAAAGAAGCGTGGGGATGTTTTTAACCACTGGCCTCTGTGAGTCCTGGTTTTGCCCCAGCCACCACTAACCAGGAAGTTAAAAGCGGGTAAAAATTGGTGACTCTTCAGAGGGAGGAAACAGGGTCCCACCACTAGAAAGGGTCATGTTGGGAGGACACGAGGGGCTCCAGGGGAAAAGGAGCCTGCCTGGAAATGGTGACTGGGGGGGATTATAGTGGAAATTTCCCTGGCTTGGAAGAGGGCCTGAATCTGCAACCCGAGGGCTGTGGAGTGCCAAGGGGGGTTGCCTTAAAGAAACAGGCACACCCTTGGCATCCCCTGGCGATGTTCCTAAAATCCACTTGCAAACTCTCCAAGGTGTCCTGCAAAAACCATGAGGCTTCCCCCCTGCAGGACTGGATGTCACCCTGCAGACTCCGAGAGGAACCATGGGAAAGCGGCAGAGATGCGGGCCAGGGGCCATCCCTGATAGGACCAGGATAGATGAGTGGTTAGGACACAGCCCCAAGCATGGCTAGAGCTCCAGTTGCATCACTACAGTACCATAGATGTACTGCTGTGGGCTTCTGGGTTCTGGTTTCCTCGTTTGTAGAATGAGTTCGTTGGCCTCTGGAGTGGGAGGGCTGGGATCGGTATGAACCAAGAACAGTGGCTGGCAGTGTGTAACGTTATTGTTCATTGCCCAACACTAGCCATTGCAGTTAGACATAAAAATACTAGCAACCAAAGGGGGCCTCTTTCTTCCTGCATTGCTAAGGGAGTAGCCCAGGGCCTCAAGCATGGTGAGCAAACCCCCAGCACTGGCTACATGCCAGCCCCAAAGAGGCTCATTGGTAGAAGTTTTCCTAGAGAAGGAAACCTCCGCCGACTTCTGTTCTGAGAGATGGGGTCACTGGGCTGCAGGGGGTGTGGGGATGTTCACTACCAAAGGGCCACTCTGAGGAATGTTCTTAAGCCTTTGGGGAGAGGTGAACCCTGCTCTTGTGGGTGGGGTCTCTGGCATGATTCAGGGTAGTGTGGTGCTTGGGAGGTGTCAGGCAGCAGGCAGTGGATGCTCAGGCAGTATTTCCTGCTGGTTCCTAATCTCCAGGCTATCCTAGAGTGGGGGGTAGGGGAAGGAGGATGCTAAGTGCCTTTCAGGTGACCAAGGCCAAGACAATGAGCCCTTCCTGAGCATGCTGGAAGATAAGTAAATCCTGGTGGCAGGTTAACCTCCGACTCCAACATCCCAGGTTCAAATCCCAGTGAAATGTTGAAATCCCAGTGACAGGCTAACCTCCAACTCCAGCATCTCCAGAGCCTCTTGTAGTGTTAGGCTTTGGGATGGTGCTGTACAGTTCCCCAAGGGACATATCACCTCAGGGAACTGCAGAGGAAGGCAAAGGCCACATCTGTGAGTTAAGCTGATGCTGGCTGCCCCTTGTTACCAGAGGGGAAGTTACAGGAATTCCTGGCGTATACCCAGGGTCCCGTAGGGACCTGATCAGGGTTCCTTCCCATTTGTCATGCCTGTTTACCTTTCCTTGGCAGAGCCTTACCCTCCCAGGATTCTGCAAAGTTCTGCATTTGGGTCACAGGTACCTTTTTTCTTCCAGGTGTGGCAGGTGTGCTTGTGGGACACCCCTTTGACACAGTGAAGGTGAGTCTCTTGTCCAGGTACAGGCTTGCAGGATTTCTGGCCTGGGAATACAGTTAAGATCATCCCTCAAGTTTTAAACGAAGGCAGGGTGGCTATTCCTCACTTAAGGAGCCAACTGACCCTTCCTCCTGGGCATTGTTCAGTCTCCCACAGAGGCTGAACAGCCTGAGATCACAGGCTCAGCTTTACTTGGCAGGCACAGACTGGGGGTGTTGACAGACAGGTTTCTTATCAGCCAGGGAGAGAAAGCCCACCCAGTTCTGATGTAGAGTTCCGCTAGCATCTCCTTTGAATTGCTGTTTTATGTGTTTTGCCTGCGTGTATGTTTGTGCGTCACGTGTGTTCCTGGAAGGACTGGAGTTTTAAGGTGGTTGTGAGCAGCTGTGCAGGTGCTGGGAATTGAACCCAGATCTTTTGAGAGATCAGCCAGTACTGTTAACTGCTGAGCCATCTCTTTAGCTCCATCCTAACATCTTCCTGAAAGAAAATAAGAGGTGGGAAAAGGCAGAAATATAAGGAATCAAACCCTTCTGAACCATGTGTGGTAGGTAGCACGCCTGGAATCCCAGTCCTGGGGAGAATTAAGAATTTGTCACCATCTTGTTAGGAAAGCCCGCCTCAGCAGCTGGGTGTGGTAGCGGCATTGGGAGGCTAAGGCAGAAGGACCACCACAAGTTTGAGGTCAGTCTGAGCTGTATAGCAAGATCACGTGACACCAGAAATGAACTCAAGGCTATTTATCTTTCGGTCTTTCTGGATCAGTGCTTGTCACAACTTTTTTGAGTGCTGGCATGTACCTGCAAGGCAGTGTCACCCAGCAAGGTCCTAAGGGACACTTTCAAATGGAAGGACGTCCCGGGGTAGGTACCTCCTGAATCACACCTCAATTAACTGGAGCTCTGGATCCTTAGCGTCCCAGGACAGAGGTCGAGGACACAGACCCACATCCTCTGGTGGAAAGCCCTGTAGGTGCTCGAGCTAGGCACATCAGGACCCTGCGTCTGCCATTTTCCTCAGACCCAGTGGCCTGTGATCAGTCCAGGCTCTAAACCTGGCTTTGTTCCCACTTGTGTGAGGAAAAAGCTGGCTGCTGAACACACCATCCCAAGCTAGCTTGAGCTTCACATCCTTTGTCTTCCTTCAGAGAACCAGGTGTTTGTTGGCGCAGAAAATAATAGCTCATTAATTCAGAGCTGGGATTTGTTCCAGTGTGGGTGTAAGGGCCTGGCCTTGTGCATTGACTTCGAACTTAACAAAGCTCTGTCCTGGGTCCAGGCATCTTCAAGGTGATGGGGTGGATGAGGTTACTAAGGCCCGTTGTTCAAAGTGCACCAGAATAACTTGTGTCACATTAATGGGTTAATTGCAGGCTCTAGGGGGCATAGACCTGTCACCTGGCATCCCTGAGGAGAAGGCCAGAGAGCAGCCACTTGGCAAGCAGTGGCCCATGATTTCCACTCATAGGCTTGCAAGATTGAAGCCCTGGTATAACCTGTCCACAAGGTGACCCACCATGCCCACAGTCTGCCTGGACGCCTTCTCCCACCCACAGTGAGGTTAGCCACATTCACACATCGTTGTGTTTATATCTTGTGGTCAAATGTCTCAAGCACCTCCCACAGCTGTGTCCAGCCAATAAGAGCCATGGATTCACTTCCTCAGCCCGGCATTGCAGAGGCTGCTGACTTGACTGGTACTTGCTTCTGAAGCAGGGTCCCTTGGGCATGAAAGCACTTTGTCCTGGTAACCCCAACTCCTCTGAGCTGCTGAGCCCACGACCACCCCTCTGCAGTTATTCAGCCATGAGAGCCAATCCCCTGCCCACAGATGCCCATAAAGTGATCTTTCAGAAAATCATCTTGTACACCACCAACCCCCAACTATGGTTGAGCTATTGGCATTCGAGCAAACTGGCCATAAAAAGCTGTTTGTCTGTCTTTAACGTATATGGGTGTCTTGTCTGTATGTACCATGTATGTACCTGATGCCCATGGAGGCCAGAAGAGAGCATTGGATCCCCTGGAACTGGAGTTATAGAAATTTGAACCACAGAGTGGGAATTGAACCTGAGTCCCCTCATAGAGCAGCCAGTGCTCTTAACCACCGAGCCACCTCATCAGCCCCGCGCACGTGCTAGGTAAACTAGTATAGTTCTATCACTGAGCCACAACCCCAGCCCATGACTGACCCTTTCTGAATCAGGGCTAGGAGACTTCCTAGCTCTTGCGACCATGATGCAGCTTAGTTTCCCCCACAGCAGTAACGTGGGTTCCAAGTTCAGGGTATGCATCCTCTCCTCATGCCGCCATGAAGCCGGCATATCAAGAGCAGATAAGTTCTCAGGCAACAAAGAGTGCTTTGATGTGGAAGAGGTTCTGGGCCACTGGGTCTGGCAGTGTCCCCAGGTCCTGGAGTTATTGCCACGGGGGCCTAGGGAGGCCGTCAGCTGCCTGCCGCCACTCATGACTCATAGGGCTGCTATGCTAGCAGGAGCAGAGTGGAGGTCCAGTGTCCCACCCGGATAGAGGACTGTGACGGGGCACCAGGCTGTGATTCCTCTGTGGCCTCAGCCTCAGAGGACAAGTGTCAGCTGAACACGCGTTGGTTCCAGGAGCTGGTCTGGTGACGCACATGCACATGCGAGACCTCTCTTCTTCCGCTTGTCTTGGGGACTCGAAGCCCACCTGCAGCTGGCTGTCCTTGTAGCTGTTAGCTCTCAAACACCCAACCAACTGCACCCTGGAGTCCCAGGTTCACAAGCAGCTTGGCTGCCGGCCTTGTGCCCTGCAGGCCGGGGGAACTGCCTCAGTGGCTCAGCCGGTCCCTGCTCACTGGCTTTGCCCCTGCAGGTACGGCTGCAGGTACAGAACATGGAGAAGCCCCAGTACCGAGGGACACTGCACTGCTTCCAGTCCATCGTCAAGCAGGAGAGTGTGAGTGTCTGGGCGGGGCAATTGTTGGGCTGGGGAGCAAGTCTGGAGGAGCTATCACCCCGGGCCAGAGGTCCAGGAGAGGACCATGGGCCATCTTGGATTGAGGGCTTTGTGTCTGCGCGCTGCCTATGAGCCGCCAGCGGTGAGGGCTGCCACTCGCCTATGGAGGGCCTGACGAGAGTGGCTGGGCAACAGGAACAGAGTGGCATCCCTCATCCCTGATGGCATTTCTGTCTCTGCAGGTGCTGGGCCTGTATAGAGGTCTGGGCTCACCACTAATGGGGCTCACCTTTATCAATGCGCTGGTGTTTGGGGTGCAAGGCAACACCCTTAGGGCCCTGGGCCAGGACTCACCACTCAACCAGTTCCTGGCTGGGGCCGCGGCAGGCGCCATTCAGTGTGTCATCTGTTGCCCCATGGAACTGGCCAAGACGAGGCTGCAGCTACAAGACGCGGGCCCTGCTCGAACCTACAAGGGCTCCCTGGACTGCCTGGTACAGATTTACCGGCACGAGGGCCTGCGTGGCATCAACCGAGGCATGGTGTCTACGCTTCTGCGCGAGACACCTAGCTTTGGTGTCTACTTCCTCACCTACGACGTACTGACACGTGCCATGGGCTGCGAGCCGGATGACCGCCTGCTGGTGCCCAAGCTGCTGCTGGCCGGGGGCACGTCGGGCATCACATCCTGGCTCTCCACCTATCCTATGGACGTGGTTAAGTCACGACTGCAAGCCGATGGGCTGCAAGGAGCCCCTCGCTACCACGGCATCATCGACTGCATGCGGCAGAGCTACCGGGCTGAGGGCTGGCAAGTCTTCACGCGGGGGCTGGCCTCCACGCTGCTGCGTGCTTTCCCGGTCAATGCTGCCACCTTTACCACAGTCACTGTGGTACTTTCGTATACCCGGGGCGGGGAGGCCCAGCTAGACAGCGAGGCAGTTCCGGGCACCTCTGCCAACCCTGCTGGGCCTGCCCTGGCCCAGCCTTCCAGTCTGTGATGCTGTGATCCCATCAACTTCCCCAGGGCCCACTTGGCTGAAACCTGACACAGATAATGTGGCTTCTCAGCCAGGCTCCTTGCTCCTTGGCTGGTGACAGCAGCCAGGCTACACCCCACTGACCTCCTGTTTCTCCTTCGCTGTAAAACGGGGACTCTCGTCATACATGGTACATCCGGGAAGGTCAAGCCTCGCTAAGTTGACACTCCGTACACAGCACTGCCACTGAGAATCTCCCAAGACCTACACTCCAGGGCTCTCTCCTGAGCCAACTGTAACAAGCTGGCCAAGGGCCCACCCATTCCCCAAATCCTCCACCCACGAGTCCCAGGAAGACATTGGCCACCTCTTACCATCAGGGGCAGAGGCCAGTGTAGGGTGTGCCTGGCGTGTCTCAGCTGTTACCCTTGAGCTGCATGTGGGGGCTTGGGCCCTGGCAGCGAGCCTGTTGAGGGTCCTGCCCGTGCATGGAGAGCAAGTCACTGGTCTCAGTGTCCCCACAGTGAAACTGTGTGACAGCTGTGGCAAGAGGAAGTCATCTCATCCATGGGCCTCTAGCTACCTGTCTGTAAAATGGGGACCTTGGTCAGCCGAGGTCTGGCTCACTACCACCAGTCAGGATTCCCAGTGATGGGTGGGCAGAGGGACCAGTAGAACAGCGTGGGATTGCTCCACTCCCCCAGTAAATGTCTCTGTGGGAATTCTCAGTGCCTGTGCCCCTGGTCTCGGCACCAGGTATAGTGAGGCCAGTTTGTGCTCTCCTGCTGGCTGTCACTGTTATACAGGACCCTCCAAAGGAGTAAAGTCTCGTTTCCTAAGTGTGTGAGGCTCCCCTTCGCATGGTGCAAGGATTCATCTTCTTCCTTACGCTGCATTCAGTGGCTACGGTTTATGTACTTGGACCTGGACACATGATTTGAGTAGATCAAGAGTATATCTAAGCCTTCCTGGTCCACACAGTGGTGGTAAATGGAGGCATGAGGATTACTTAAGGTAAAATCACGAGCATGCCCTTTAGCAAGTATTGGCTTTCATTCCTGGAATTGGAGGCTGTGGTCCCCTGGTGGAGGAAAGCTATGAGTGTGTATGCCCTGTGACTAGTCTTTATTCTGCCAACTCCCAGATCATGACATGGAGACTTGTTAATAGTTATGAATGCTCAGCCTTAACTTAGGCTTATTTCTAACTAGCTCTTATAGCTGAAATCAAACCATTTCTATTAATGTTACCATGTGGCTCGTGGCTTTTACCTCTCCTCCTGCATGCCCTACTTCCTCTGCATCTGGCTGGTGACCGCATCTTTCTTCTTCCCAGAGGTCTGTCTGTCCGGAAGTCCAGCCTATACCTCTTGCCCAGCTATTGGCCACTTAGCACTTTATTAAACCAATCACAGTGACACATCTTTAAACAGTGTAATCAAACATCTCGTAACATTTCCCCCTTTTTGTCTAAATAAAAAGGAGATGGTTTTAACTCTTAACAGAGTAAAACGATATACAATAATAACACTTATAAGGTAAGAATTATATTTACAATATCCAGTCCATTTGTATTTGGCAAATTTGGAGAAATTACCCTATTAATCTTATCTTGATGAGTTCAAAGTTTTATACTTAAACCATATTTTTTTTATCATACTTCTATTACCAACCCCAAACTATTTAGACCTCAAGATGAACAATTTAAGCTTTTATGCCTCTCAACCTTATACACTTCTTTATACCTCTTTTGTGAGTTTCTTTTCTGAATTTTGTAACAAGGAAAACTATAACTATCTTGTTTTCAACTCTACCAGAGATCCAAGAAGGACATAATGTTATCAGAGTAAACAGGAAATAGAGAGCAAGCAACTTCCAAAACTGTAGAAATGACAGAAATAGGCTGCCTGGACAGTCTCCCAAGGTTCCTCTGTAACATTTGGGCATCCATTTTCATCCCACAGGTCTGGAGTATCTGACAGACTGTTCTGCAAAGCAGGAATTTTGAAGGACTATCCTGCCTTGTCTTGGCAAAGTGAGACAGTCTCTTTTTTGTCCTGCTTGTCCAGTTTGGACAGCATACTGTCAGCAGTCGAGGCAAGGGCAGTTTCTCTGCCCAGTGATTAAACTTTGTCACAATAAAACAAACTCCATATGGAGGTTCTTTGATGTCCATCATCTTCCTTTGAAGTAGATCAGTGCTGGCAGGAGCAGATGTGCCTCAACGTCAAGAAAAGCCTTGTGCTATTAAAACATCTTAAATACCATGTTCTGTGGGTCTTGGAAGTGTTTGAAGATCGCCTATCTAAAATATAGCTCTGTTTGAAAACACACCTAACATGACTACAGGTTGGCTTATTATAGATGACTACCAATCTGTATTTGTTAATTACTCGTTACATTTTAAAATGAGCTGCATGAGCCCAATGCCCCAAAGAGTAGACACATGGAGTATAACAAAAATAACTTTAAATTTGTATCAATATGCCAAAGTCCGTACCAGTGTAAAATATCTGAGGTTAATAGTTGTCCCTTTTATCCATATCCCCCCCTTAAATGATGACAAACAACCCTAACTCACCAAATGGCCAAAATCCACTCACCCCACCTCTTGGAGAGTGTGGGTGTTGTGTTCTCTACACTGCTTTCTGTTATCTGTGGGGGACGGCATCTTTAGGGGACCTGAGAAAATAATTGAGATGATGTCAAGTCCTAGTAAAACCAGTCCTAACATTTGTTGTCTAGTCTTTGCGATAGGAAAGCTCAAGGCTTATCTGCAGTTCAGGCTAGAATGGTCTGTGATGCTGGACCGCCTTAGCCAGCAGCCTTGAAGCTGTTCTGGATGCAGAGCTCTGAGGAAACTGCAACAGAGGCATCTGAGATGCTGGATCACCTGGGCTACTTTTTGGTTTTGTCTATATATATATATATATATATAAAGGATTTCTCTGTGTAACAGCCTAGCTGTCCTGGAACTAGCTGTATAGACTAGGCTGACCTCAAACTCACAGAGATCCATCTGCCTCTGCCTCCCAAGTGCTAGAATTAAAGGCTGCTTGTCTTTATTGGTATCTGTTTTTTTTTTTTTCTGAAAACACACGAACTTTTAAAGTAACATACATATCTACATAACTATATTATGGAATGTGCAGTGTGCACAAGTCTGCTAAAAATGATTTTTTTTTTTTGTTTTATGTTTGAACAGGTAAAAGGCATTTAACTTTTAATTTGTTAGGACTGTATAACCTAACTGTAACATAAATCTCTACCCATGCCTTATGAAAGGATGTCATGTAATAATAAGTCATGAAACAAAGGACTCAAGACCATGATGGAGAAACCCATAGAATCAGCTGACCTGAGCTAGTGAGAGATCACTGACTCAGGTCTGACAAATGGGGAACCTGCATAAGACCAAACTAGACTCCCTTAATATAGGTGACAATGGTGTGACTGGGACAATATATGAGGCCACTGGCAGTGGGTCCAAGATATAACACTAATGCACAAACTGATTTAATGGGGCCCATTCTGTATGGAGAGATACCTTGCTCAGCCTAGACACTGAGGTGTGGGGGGCTGGGAGGGTGCCTTGGTCCTGACTCAACAAAATGATGGGACAGACTTAGCAGACTTCCTAGGGGAGGCCTTACCCTCTCTGATGAGCAGAGGTGAGGTGGAGGGAGTGGGGAGAGGAGGAGGAGAGGAGGGGGAACTGGGATTGGAATATAAAAAATAAACTAATAAAAAATTGAAAAAAAACTTGATCACACTTCTAAAAAAACTGAAAACCACCTCTAATAAATAGTAATAATAATAATAATGTCATGAAGATGCTATAGCCAACAAGATTTATCATGTCTCATCCCATCTCAGAGCTGTTCCCAAGTCAAACAATCAGCTTATACATCAGCTGTCTTGTAGTTTTTCTTTTCTTTTTTTTTTTTTTTTTTTTTTGTGCTTGTAGCCAAGAGTTTTAGATCTCCCTCAGTCAAATCTAATCTCAATTAACTTTGAAGGAATCTCATAGCCTTTCATTTCCTGTAGAAGCTAAAGCATCAACCTCTCCCCCAGGGCAACATATTTTTCAACTTCAGTTCTGAAGGCAAGACACCTCAAAGTGTCTATGCTGGTTTAACCCAGCAGTCCCTCGCATAACCCTATGTCTCTCAGCAGTCAGCATTTAAAAAAATTCAAAGTCAACCAAGTACCAATCAGGAACAGAGTGCCCTGGGTATGTCTCATCTTTATGTGGCTTACGTTTTTATTACTTTACACTTTCTTTAAAGACTTCACTTTATTATTTTTAAACTTTTTTCTATGACTGTCCATACCCATTTTCTTCCTTTAGCATTTAAGCACATTTTTTTCAACATTCTATACCTACTTAGAGGTTGTTTTAGGCCTGGGCTTGGCTTTACTAAGTGCCCAGAGTGTTCTCTGATCATGTGAGCAGACACTTATATTGCTAGGGGCAGCTAGGTCCTCCCTGACAGCCTAGCTGTAGCACAGCAGGAGCTCCACCTATTGGCCCAGCTCTTGCAAGTTGCTGAGCCCTCTTTGTGGAGTATCCCAGAGTGGCAGCCTATTGTGATTGCTCATGGAGAGGCCGATGTGGTGAGCATGACTTCTCTGTATGGTCATGCCATGTGGGGCCTAAAAAGGCCAGGTCAGAAAGCCTAGTGGAACTTCCTGAGCCTGGCTAGTCTTTGGCCTATCACTTCTACATAGGAGTGACTCAGCAAAACTGCCTCTGCCCAGCTACTGCTAACTCAGTGAAATTATTGGCCCTTACACCTTACCCATCCTGAGGTTGCCACCCTCTTTCTCAACATTATATATGTGCATGCCTGTTACAATAAAACGAGCTCCTGCTTTGACAAGGCTTCCAATTCGGTGTGCTTCTCTCTGGTGACTAGGAGGAGGGTCTGGGTCATCAACACTCCCCATCCCGCTCAGCCCCAGGAAGGGACTAGCTGGACCGGCCCTTCCACCCCTACCTGCCGGCGCTGCCAAGCATTG